AGATAAATATAATTTTAATATTTTTTATAGAATTATCTTAATAATATTCTCCAGTTTAATAAAAAAAAGATGTGTATTAAAAGGTATTGATGTTTTTTATTAGAGGCAAACAATAATTGATGTTCAATACCGTTAATAAATAAAAGATGTTTTTTAGTGCAAAGTGTTATTATTTCACGCTTATAATAGTTTTTGGATTTAATATTTTTAAAATAAAAGATGTATAAAGTAAGAAGGTGAATGTTTGTTTACTTTTGATTTAAATTCAGATATTTTATAAATATAACTGATCTCAAACTAATAATGAATAAAACGTTACAATCTTATTTTATATTTTTTTTATTTTAAAAGAATCGTGTTAATAATATTTAATGTACAATCAACATTATTTTTAATAAAAAATTTATTAGTTATTTTTCAAAAGCAATATTTCCAACACAACGATGAGTAAGATCCTATATTACGTAGTCTTTTAGAATTATTATAGAGGTATTTATTGCTTTTCTATTTATTCTTACTAATAGAGTTGGTGAAATTTATAAGTTAAAATAAAGAAGGAAATGGAAAATTTTAAATTTTAAATATTAATAATGGAATTATAAATATAAAAAATATTTTTTATTTTTTAATAATTAAGAAGATTTTTAAGAAAAAATTTAAGGATAATTTTTTAACAGAGTAATTTGTTGCAAATTTTTTTACCATTGTCGCACGAATTGTATTGTATGTGGCATTAATAAACTAAGCCAGAACGAAAATAATAATGGGTTAAATCTCAAAACATAAAAGAGAGATATAATAAATAATAAAAAAAAAAAACTGTCCATTTGAACCTTATTCACGAAGTTCTTTCGTAATATTTAGTTTATTTATATTTATACTATTATTTTATGAACGGAGAATAGAGTTTAGATCTTATCTATTAGCAAGAAAGAAAAATGTTTATGTCATGAAAGAAGAAGATATTTAATAATTATGGCTTTGCTAACATTACTTGAATATTAATTTAAAAAAAAATTAAAAGTATGAAAATTCTATCCATTCAATTTTAATTAACTGTCCAATTTAAAAAATGTTCATAACTTAATTGTCTTTTTTAAATTTAAAATAATATTAATTACTACTTTTAATTACACTTGTATCATCACTTAATTTTTAAATATTTTAACTTGTTACAACTTACAATTAAGTCGTAGGAAAGTAATAAATTATATTAGTAAACAAAATATTCGATGGTCAAACTTGGTTGAAATGCTTATTACACATTTACACCAACTTTAGCATTTACAACTATTAAAGTATTACTAGTCATACTATTAGAAATAGTAAGTTATTTTTTTTTACCTAGTATTCCGATGGAAATACATTTGGCTATACCAAAAATATATTTTTATTTGTTCTTTAATTTTGACTTAATGACAACGCTAAAACAATTTAGCCGAAATTTAGACAACTTAATCATTACCTTAAAGTTGTTTTTTCACTTCTATATATCTAAATTTATCCAAAATTTGACACATATTACAGATAAATTAAATAACATTGTCTTAAATTTGAGACGGATTTTAGGCAAATAATATAATCAGTCATATAGTTTTTGGATCATATAAGCTACATCATAATGATTAAAAAAACATTTTTTGTTTTTAAAAACATAAAAATTAGTTAATACTTTATTCTCCATTTACTAAAAAAATATAAAAATTCCTTCGGGCGTCTCCATGTCTATTACGTAATTGATTATTCCTTTTATTGCAAAGCGTGTTGAAAGGGTAATAATAATATGCTTATCGTGTAAGCAGATGCATTGGCTCACTAATGATGCTCTGATTATTAAAAAAGAGTGTTGGTTAACTTTGGATCCACAATTAGTGAATCAACTTGTGGTTGAGACTTTGAGGCATTAAATGACCTAAAAAATATAGTAATTTCACTGTTTGATTTTGATTTGATTTGGAACGACCATTTCCAGCAACCTATAGAAAGCGTAATTCTCCCTGTCTCCGACTTTAGAGCATCTATCCTATCATATCTTAAATTTCCCAAAGTTTGTATTCAAGAATCGGATTTAATTGGTTCATTACGCTGATTTTGTCTTTTCAATTCCTCAAAATTCTTATTTTATTCTCCCCCTTAAAGAAATGTACTATTCATTTTGATTTTGACTTCTCAGACAATCACTCTTTAAGTATTGATAATTCTCAATTGATTTTAACAAATACCGATTTATAACTATATAAAATAATTTATTTTAGTTTCTAATGATACCTCCAAGTATATATAGAATTTTGTATCCAGTTTTGGGACACGAGTTTAATTTTGATATATAATTATGAATTACCATGTTATTAAAAATTTACTCATCATTAAATAATATGTATTTTTTGACATTATTAATGTCTTCCAATTAGATTCATAATATATTGGCTAAGATTACGATTGAATATTTTGTATTTGGACATGATCTTGCTTCTCTATTTGAATCGACGAATCAAAAAATATAACCGCTAATGATATAAATAACTATTAAGTAGAACTGTCATAATAGAGTCTGGAAATAATCTTATAGCATATATTATCTTAAATTTTAATAATATTTTTTAGCTGGTAATTGTAGTATTTTCATGAAAAATGACAAGATTATTAAAGTGTCCCTTTAGTAAGAAAATAAAAAATAAAAAATATGTATTGTCTTTTCTTTCAAAATATTCAAAGTCGTTATCACACTTTGAATAATTTATATACCGAAAGTTCTATTCTACAAGCCTAATCATGATCACACCAACATAAGCCAATTGTCCAAGTAGCCTAATTATATTTTTTAATCTAATATATCATACATGCATGAATCATATGTTAGTAATTAATTAATGATTTGGATCGTAGACAGCTTTAAGTAAACAGTATAGATCTCTGTCTTAATATATATATTCCAAAAATAATTCATATAGAACTGCTAGGTATGTTGTTTTCTTTTAACTGCTGAGTATCCCATTCGCTTAATAATATAGCAACTTGTTTGTATTTTGACTTATTCACTCAAAAGGGTGTTGTCCTTTTTTTAAGCCATGATAGAAAAAGCTCTGAAATTTAATATACATAATTTCATCAAACATTGGATCAGTTTAAAAGGGAAAAAAAATTACAAAGGAGTTAAATTTTTCCCGTAAAAGGAGTAAAATGATAACCCAAAATTGCACGTCATGACAAAATAAAATGAATACAAAATGGAACTTGAACTTTTCCTTTTAACATTTTCCAACAGTATCTACCTGAAATGTTGTACTTATGAAGTTTCTATATTGACTATAATAATGTCTCCATCTTTAAAATTTCCATATTGTTTCGGGGTACTTGCGTTATCAAGTTGCTTCATAATCACTCAACATTAAGATAAACACCATGCGGTCACTACGGAACCAGATAAGATATTATCATTATTATTGGTTAGGTGAAAGTTCATGAGGACATTTTAAGGAGAGGGTCACTTGTCTCCAGCTTAACCTAATTGCCCTAAACATAGGTTTGAGAATGACGTTTGGCCCTATCTTTGTAAGAAAAAAGTTTGGTCATTTTCCTCTCGTGTGCACCAGCTCTGTTCCTCTCTCTCTCTCTCCCCACTTCACCAGCAGCCACCCATTCTCTCAATTTGAATAGCTAATATCTGTCATGACCAAAAAGTTTCTTTTCCCCTTTAGCAAATCTATTTATTCAAACAAATAATTTGGATTTAGGATAAGTTCCGAACTATTGTAACTATATAATTTGGTTATTTTACTTTTGTATACTTATACCTACACTGTTTTTACTATGGTAAGAATATTGCAATTTAAAAATTAATGTTCACAAATGAAAAATTTTAAGAAATTAACTAAGCTCGTCTTTAAAAAAAATCTATTTTTCCTTAACTCATTTTGTTTTACTTTTGTTTACTATTGCCTTTTAACATCAAATCTTTGATTATTTTGCAACATTTTTTTTTCACACATGTATAGTATGTTTACTCTTGAAATATTGTGTTTTAGGTGTTTTAAAAACAAATTTATTTAAATAAAAAATGATCATATTTTAAAGTTGGTAGACTTTCCCTGCGACTCAAAACCAAATAAAAGCATTTTGTAATCAGGGTAAGAAGAAGAAAATGATATTCATGCGTGCATGCATGCATTTATACGCCTACATATGATTTGAATGATTTTGATTCTAAATCAAATTAAATAAACTCTTCAATTTAACGATTGTTAACACACAATGCAGATCGTAACATGTTTCATATTAAATATTTTATATTCAAATTATTAAATATAGATGCACAGTCTTTTTTTTTTGCGGGTCAAAACACTAAGTAATTCAAATGATAATAATTAAAAAGTGCAAGTCAATTAAGAAGTGTGCACAATAACGTGAATTTGACCTTGTGACAAAAAAAAAGAAGAAAACTTACAGGGAAAGATATTTTGTCACTTCAAAGTCCAAAGACAACCTCATAAAATAAAGGTAATAGCCGGAATTCAAATTATGCTGTTTCGTTAATAAATTGAGAATTTCAAAGGAAAATAAACTGAAGCCATAAAAAAAGGGGTTCATATGCTTGGTACAGATCTAAGTATGATTCATATCCAGCACATATCATTAAAGTCTGAGGCTAAAGGGACCCATATTGTAATTGTGGAAAAGGGTACTAATATGAATGTAGTAGATGTCTCAATGCAGTGAGCTTTGGTCCTATGAACACACATTTGGATTGACTACACGCATTATACGGACATGGATAAAGATACTGAGAACTTTACATGAGTGTGTGAAACGACGTCAGATAAACGCCAAAAGTACAGTAACCAGCAACAACGTAGAACTTGGTCCACAATCTCTGCACTCTGCACCACTCTTCCACACGTTCGCCTAATCACTTTTCGCCACGTGGCACACTGGGACCCCCACGCTGCGTCCAACTTCAACAACTGCCGTCACTGTACAATATTATTAGTATTTTATGTTTTTTTTTTTTCTCAGCATCATCATTAAAGAAGAAAATTTTGACCCTTTTTTCCTTCCTTTCAATTTTTGTGTTCTATTTTTCTGGGGTGGCTTATTTATTGCTATCAGTATCATCACGATGATGGGGGCAAAAAAGTTGGAGTCTTTCTTGTAACTTCAACAAATAGACGGTAGCTTTAGCCTTACAAGTTCTTCCTTTGTTTAGTTTCCTTTTTGTTATTGTATTCGGGTTTAGTGCGTGTGTTTCTTTTCTTATCATTGTGTCTCTATGACAGAACTTTTGGGGTGTTGAGGGTGGTGAGGGATCTGAGGAAGAGGTTTTGATGATATGGGGGCGTGTGTTTCAACTCCACAAGGGTGTGTGGGAGGGAGGTTGAGCTCTTCCAAGAGGAAAACCAGGAAGAGGAGAAGAGGAGGACTCAGGAGAAGAGTTTCTTCTCGGTTGTCTAAAGAATCATTGGACAAGGGTGATGTGACAGGGTTACCTGATCGTTCCTTTGCCAACTCCGCTTTCCAAGGTTGATGTTTTATTGCAGTTTTTGTTTGGCCTTTTGGGTTGCATTTGTTTGAAGTGATTTTGGAGTTGAAGTTTGTGAATGAGACAGCTGAAACTGTTTGTTTGGTTTTGTTTTCTTATGGAATGCAATTTGTTGATGGGGAATTCTTTTAACGGATCTTTTTTTCTTCTTGTTGGAGTGAGTTTGCCAATTGGTTTGGTGCTTTTGGGGTAGTTGGAGACTTGCAGTTTTGGATTCTGGGAAATTTTGTAGGTGGAGTTGATGACTTTGCGTGTAATGGATTGGTTGTGTATGCTCTGAAATCTGAAGTAACAGTTGAACTGATGCTAAGCAATAGTTTAGGAGGATGGAGTGGGTGTTAATAGTTGGTGCAAATTATTGTCATTCACAACCGAAAGCATTGTCAATATTTTGTGTTATGCTATGTGAGCATCGTTAGGAAAGCTATTTTTATTTTCTACACGAAGGGAGGGGTTGAAATTCAACTTTTGTTCTAAGAATGAACATACTAAGACTTCTGGTGGAAAGGTGGTGTCAAAATTTGGAGTAATGTTAGTACTGATGTCTATGTGGGAGTGATTGAGAACAATTGTATATGGGGAGTGGTACACTTTTATATGCCTCTACCCATTTCAGCTTTGCTTTGTGGTTTGAGCAATGAGGACTTAGAAGTAGCACTTGGTTCCGGAATTATGGCCTTATTATCACAGACATGGAGGGAAGGGTTGCAGAATTAGTACTTATAAATGCTTGGGTTTTACCAGTTGAAACAGTTTAATTATAAATTTTGAAATAGGAACTTAATGTATATGTTAATTTCTATCATTATGAAATTCATTTCAGAACTGAGTCATCTTTATTGAAAAATAATTCAATTCAACTTTTCATTTCTCTGTCCCTGTGGATCTGTTCCTTATGCTGGCGATTGCTTTTTTTTTTTTTTTCCCTCTCAGACATTTTGATCAGCTTATTATATAACATTTGGTTTAACTACAGCTAGTGCATAAGACATTTCTCTGAAATCGTATTTGGCTATTGTACGGCTTTTAATATAGCTAATATGTTATCGGAATTTTAATTTGTGGCAACAGGAAGTATTGAAGAGGCATGGTTTGATTCGGTTGCAGTATTCGACTCTGACTGTGATGATGACTACCAGAGTGTTCCTGATGGTATGATTTTATTTTTTTAAAAAAATTTAGATATAGTTTGTTTACTACCCTATTTAATGAATTATTAAAAAATTATCATCAAATACAATTGATATATGCAGATGTTGTATCTTTGACTGGGATAGAAGGTGGATCCATAGCAAGTTTCCCAACCTCAAGAGATGCCAACCATGGAGTTTCAACTGATCAGGTGCAGAAACCGAAGGAGTTATCGGTAGGCTCTGCGGCTGCCAGAAGTTCAGATGTTCAATATTTTGGTGTGGATGCCATTGATTCTCAACGTAGAAGTGATGGAAATATAGTTGAAGTAAACGAGCCTGTGTTCCTTGATGATATTTCCTCAGTGGATGCAAACTCCAACAAGGATGACGGAGTTTTGGATAATTGTGGAATTCTTCCAAACAATTGTTTGCCGTGTCTTGCATCTACTGTTCCTTCTGTTGAAAAGAGAAGATCATCAAGTTCTAGTCCTCCTAATGCAAGGAAGAAAGCTCCTATGAAACTTCCCTTTAAATGGAAGGAAGGACATGGGAATTCTACTCTATGTGAGTTGAAATTCTTGAAACATCATTCTTTTGACTTGGGTTTTATTTTATATAAAATTATTGTCACCTTAAAAGGTTTATACTTTTATCTAAAAATGATTTAGTAAATTTCAGTTTTCCCGGAGAACGCATCTAGTGATGCAGTTATGAGCAAATATAATTGTTGCAGTTCTTATTCTGTCCCCTCTTTTTTTTTTTCTTTTTTTTTTCTGGTTTTCAGTTTCCTCGAAGACACTTCTACAAAGACCAATTGCAGGTTCTCAAGTACCCTTTTGTCCAATTGATAAGCAAATGCTTGATTGTTGGTCACAAATTGATCCAAGCACTTTCAAAGTTAGAGGAGTAAATTATTTCAAGTAAGATTAAGATTTGTCAGAGATTTGTTTAAAAATGGATCCTTGTCCAAATAAATGCATAAATAATATAAACTTTGAAATCAAAATTAGATGTTTTCCATACACATCGACAAAATAATTTTTGTCTGGGATTTTGTTCGTGGCAGGGACAAGAAGAAGGACTTTGCTCCCAACTATTCTGCATATTACCCATTTGGTGTAGATGTTTTCTTATCTCCACGAAAAGTGGACCATATAGCTCGGTTCGTGGAACTTCCCCTTATTAATTCCTCTGGGAAATTTCCACCCATACTTGTTGTAAATGTTCAGGTACTCCTCCTACCTTGCTGTAATTTAGTTATTCATTTTAGTCTTCTTGCCTACTAGTTTCTAATTCCAACATTGGTTTCTTATTTCATTCTAATCCCTTGCTATGTTTTTGCCTCTATCTAATTATGGAACATTCTCAACAGAAAAATTTATAAACATCTTGTTGCTTCATATTCTTATACTCCTCCCTTTGGTGATTTCAGATTCCACTCTACCCTGCCGCACTTTTTCAGGGCGAAACCGATGGTGAAGGAATGAGCTTTGTTTTGTACTTTAAACTTTCAGAAGGTTACTCCAAGGAACTTCCACAGCATTTTCAAGAAAGCATTAGAGTAAGATGGAGGCTTCGCGTGTCAATTTAGTGCTTAATATTTACTGATACGCCCTGCTAAAATTTCTGCCATCTCAATTTTTTCTTGGTTACTATGATTAGTTGTTTCATGTCCATAAAATAAAAGATTCATAGATATTTACCATAGCCAAATATACCCTGATAGTACCTCTAGTTTTATGATCTCCTATTGATTTCCTATATTGTTGCCTTTTTTGTCTGTTAATTTGAGGAAAGCTCTTATCACTTCTTGTTACTGGCCTTCTATATGTAGCTGATGAAATAACTTCTGTCTATGTCTTTCTACAGAGGTTGATGGATGATGAAGTTGAAAAGGTAAAGGGTTTTCCTTTAGATACAATTGTACCCTTCCGCGAAAGGTTGAAAATATTGGGCCGTGTCGTAAATCTGGAAGATCTTCACTTGAGTGCAGCAGAAAAAAAGCTTATGCAGGCCTACAATGAGAAACCTGTTCTTTCCCGTCCCCAACATGAGTTTTACACAGTATGTCTCGTCCACTGATTGTAATGATTTCTTTCAATAAGCGTGTCATTAGATGAGAAACTAATTCTTGAATGATCTTGAAGAATTAGAAAGTCTTAAAAATTTGAACTTGAGCCTAATTCAACTCCAAAAGTTAGCTTGACGAGAATTGATTTAGCCTTTATAAGGAATGAGTAAGCCTAACTGATTTTACAAAGATTACCTATGCAACTGCTTCTACGAAGCTTATATTTCCAATTACTCACCCCATTATTTTATTTGATACCCTCCTGAAGCTGATTATGAAAATATCTCTCTATTATCTTTATATTCTCCATATAATGTACCAATTGATGTTACCAGTCTATTTTGTTTTTCAGTGAAATCTGAATGTGAAGTTTTATACATGCATACGGGTTTTACTTTTCTTTAATGATAAATGGTCCTGTCTGTCCACATTCATATCATTCTGTGATTAATTATGGCAGTTAGTGCCGCATGATATTTCTTGAATGTTAAGAATTAATCTGGCAGTTAATTCTGAATGGACCATCTAACCAAGATAAACAAAAACGTGTATGGTGAAATTAAGACTTTGAAAAAGTGATAGGTAAAATTCAAATTTTCCTGTGGGCTCCTTTTCCTTCTTGGTGTGTTTGTTTGCATCTTTATAGATTGTTTGTGTCATATGTTTGGCCCGCATTGCACAGTGGTGTCATTTCACTATAAAGGACAAGGGACATCCACATGCACTACTTTACTTCCTTATACTAGCCACTATCACAATGATTTATCCATTTTATTTATTTATTTTTTCAGGGAGAAAATTACTTTGAGATTGATTTGGATATGCATAGATTTAGTTATATCTCAAGAAAGGGGTTTGAAGCTTTCTTGGACAGATTGAAGGTTTGCAGTCTAGATGTTGGCCTCACAATTCAGGCAAGTTATTTCTCTTATGCCAAAAGTAAATGTATTTTCTCTTATGCCCTTATTGATTATCATAAAATATTCATATCATGTAACAGGGGAACAAACCAGAGGAGCTGCCAGAGCATGTGTTATGTTGTATTAGATTAAACGGCATTGACTACACGAATTACCAACAACTGGGGCTAACTCAGGACCCCCTCTAATATAATAACAAAAGCATTTGCAATCTTACAATTTATGATTAATAATGGTTATTTCTAGAAGGGTGTCTATGGGAGTCCTCAACACATTTTTCAATACATTTTTCACTCTTGGATCAAAGGAGGGTTGAATAGCCCTATAATAGAAACATGGACCTACCTACGCCTACTTAAATTATGGACAAGTAGGGTCCATATTCACAAACGCAGTTACTACTCATTTAAACAAAAATTTATTGTACCAAAGAAACAAAGATGAACAAACATAAATTTGATCGCGTGGGTTCTTTATGAGGGTGATTCCTCATTGTACAACTAACCCAAGTGAAAAATGTACCACTGTTGAACGTGTGCATAGTGATTGAAAGCAACTCATGGAATCTCCACTTCACATAGGAAATGTTTATGGATTTGGCTTCAATAATTTGAAGTGTGTCAGAGATATATATACCCGTCAATTCAAAATTTTAAAAGTAATTTTATAGTTTACGATACATTTATATTAATTGGCTTTATAATTCGAGTCTTGCTAATTAGTTAAAGAATTAATAAAAAGTATATTGATAATATATATATATATATATATATATATATTACTTTTAATTACTTAATTGATGTTTTTAAAACACTAATTAGTATTTGTCTTACAAAAAACAAATACAGTTTTGCACTTTCTTCCTTTAAAGTAAGGCTTCATTTTAAATGATTCGATTAGTATTTATTACCAAGGATATTTTAAATGAGTGCAGTGAATTCTGAATTGAGGATTTTTTTTCTTTTAAAATAAAATTTTATGATATTTACAGTAAGTATGTAAGCGACTCAAGTCAACTACTGAACCCAGTCCACCCAATCTGATCCAAAGAAAAAGTAGATAAAAATAATATATTATTATTGTTGTAATTAGTGTAAAGTTTTACTGTAACATTTTGAGATATACACTTGTTTGTTTGTTTAAAGGTTTTAAATCAAATTTTGGATTCATTAGCTTATTTATAGGTACCTTTAGTGATCTATTTAAAAGATTCTATTATTTTCACAAAAAATAAATTTTATTATAAAATAAGCTTTCAAATAGATTTTTGAATTAGGTCTATATTTAAAAAAATATTACTTTTTCTATATAAAAGATTCTTGATTAAGTATATAGGTCAAATTTAAATCCCAATTTTTAAATAACATTTTAAATATATATTTTTTAAATGCGGATACATATTGACTCAATGTTCAATTCAAATTAATTAGAATTTGATTGGGACACCCACAAATTTTCAAACCCAAACCAACCTAAATCGAGCAATTTTAATTTTAACTGGTCCAGACACATTTCCCTTTAACGTGACCTCCAGATTTAACCCAATCCAATTACAATCCTAATTTATTGCTAGTTTTATCTTTACGAAACATCTCTGCCTTTTATGTTTACGCGAATTAATTGAAGATTGTTTATGAGTTGCTTAGTTGACTGAAAAATAAAAGGGAACAAAAATGCCATTTTTTTTTTAAGTTTGATGATTCAAGATTGTCTTAAACTTATTAGAAAGCTTGGGATACTTTTAATTATATACCTTCTATTTACCTGCATAAGGAAATTCCAATATTTGTCACAAGTTTCTATTTCTAGAGGGATACATCGTGAAAGTTCAGGGTTACCAGAGATTCTCTATTTTCTAGTGAAATAAAACAAGTTCAACCCTTGCTTTGTGGTTTTACACACACAATAAATAAATAAATAAATAAAAATTCAATGATATGTAGCCAAAATAGACTTGTCCTGAGTGAAACTACAATTCAATTGAATCCTTAGGCTTTCGTTCATATCTTACAATCCTCAAAGTTTACATGGACCAAGAGGCTTCCCACACAACCCTTTATTCCCAGAATAAGAACTTCCAGGAAAGTCAATTAGAGGCTTTCCTTCTGGAATTTCCCCTTCAAGTACATTATCTGATAAATCCAATTCCTTCAGCTTTCTCAACTTGAGAAATGCATTGGGTATATTACCACTGAAGTGGTTTTTTTGTAGCTTCAGTTTCTCCAACAAGGTCAATTTTGCCAGCACTTCTGGCAAGTTGGAGTCTAATTCATTGAAGCTTAAGTCCAAACTGTGAATGGAATTCAGTCTCCCAAGGGAACTTGGCAATGTACCCTTCAGAAGGTTATGAGATAAATTCAGGTACTGAATATTAAACTGCCCTCCGACACCAATTGCCTCAACTCCACTTGAGAAGTTATTATCAGAAAGATCAATGTATGTTAATGATCCCCCAGAAGTACCTTGTTCAATGTCAAATGCTCCAGTTATGGATCCTGTTAACTTGTTTGAGTGAAGATCAAGAACGCTCAGATCATGCAAGTTTGCAACAGAATCAGGTATGTGTGAATCAAGTGAATTTCTTGAGAGGTTTAACAAGTAGAGCTGACTGAAGGATCCTATCCATGATGGTATGGTTCCACTGAGAAGGTTCATTGATAAGTCCAGTTCCTGTATTGGACTATCCGTTGTTTGCAAAATGTTTGGCACTTGGCCTTGGATTGCACAGCCTGCAAGGTAAATTCGGGAAAGTGATGATAGATTTGATAGCCATGTTGGGATGGCTGAGAGGTTCAGAGGGTTGAAAGAAAGATCAAGAGTTTGAAGATTTTGAAGGGAAGACATCTCTTGAGGTAATGGCCCTTCAATTAAATTATTGGAAATGTTCAACATAATGAGCTGAGAAAGTTGGCCTATTGATTTTGGTATTTGGCTAGAAAAAGAGTTGTCACTGAGGTAAAGCTCTGTCAAAGAAAGCAAATTGCCCAAACTAGAAGGCAATGCTCCTTCAAGTTTGTTGTTTGATAATGAGACTCTTTGAAGAGAAACCAGGTAGCCAAAACTGGGAGGTATGTTTCCATTTAGATGGTTATTGTGGAGTCTTAAGAAGCCTAGAGAAGCCATTTCACCAGATCTTGAGGGAAATGGGATGGTTCCCTCAAGATAATTGGTGTCCATATACAAAACTGAAATGGCAGTTAAATTGGTTAGTGAAGAAGGAATGTTCCCACTTAGCATATTGCTTGAAAGATCAAGCTTTTCCAGAGTCTGCATCTGACCAATGCTATTGGGTATATGATCAGTAAGAGCATTGTCATGAATATCCAATTCTACCAGATTTGTCAAATTCCCAAGTGAGAGTGGTATTGTACCTGAAATTTGGTTTGAGTAAAGCAGCAAACTTTTGAGGTTTTTTAAGCTTCCAAGGCTAGAAGGGATCGACCCTGATAACCTATTTTCATGCAGTGCCAGTTCCTGGAGGTTTGGTAACTCACCTATGCTTTCTGGTACTGGGCCAGTTAAATTGTTGCCATAAAGGTAGAGTTTTTTGAGCTTTGGCAGTTGCAAACCAATTGTTTGTGGAATTGTTCCACTGAGGCCAACTAAACCTCCAAGATCAAGGATTTCAAGAGAGGTGACGAGTGTTATGGAGGGAGAAAGCTGCCCCACCATCTGAGTTTGAAACAAATCTTTATCAATGAACCCTGGAAGGTGGATCTGTGTCACTTTAGTGGTTGCATTTTCACAGACAATACCTTCCCAGTCACAGCAACTGTTACCAACCCACTTAGCCAAACGACCAGATGTATCCATCTGAATTCCATTCTTGAAGCCCATCAAACCTTCCAAGTCATATGAATTGCATGCTTCTGTAGTTTTCCTTATGTCTCCTCCAAATGCTATCACTGTCAGCAGTGCTACTATATGTAGAAGCTGATAATCCATGTTGCTCTACTTAATGGAAGTGGCTCTTATCTTATGCAATGGTTTCTTGCAACTGAAAAGGCTCTTAAGAATGTTGGCTTGGACTTCACTTTGACAAATAGTCCACTCTTCACGAGACGGAGATACAAACAAATAGTATTGCTTTCAAAATCTAGCCTTTTTCTTTTGGCCACTTTTCCCATTCATATTTCAAAGCTGGAAAGCATGTTTGTCTGAATCATCATGTCCTTAATAGTACCGAGTGATAGATTCCAAAGACTGGCCCATTTGATTATCTGGATAAGCGCCAGAATTCTCGTACCCGTACACTATTTTGGATTAAACTAAAACTTTACCCCTCTATGTGCTTAGGAAATATAGGTGTTCTCTATTACAAAGTTGCAACTATTATGTAGCAGTTGGAAATCAAACTTCTCTGTTTGAAGAATGAGAAATGGCCAAGCACATGGTAAGGATTAATCTTGTAAAGTCCGGTGGTTGTGCACTTTTGGAAGTTTCTCTTTTGGGAGTTTGTCAAATTCCATGTTCTCATACGACTTTTTCTTTATAACTTTCATTGGGGAGACATAAGGAGATACTAAAGTTAATGTAATTTTTATGCACTCCAAGGACTAATCTCAGTTCATAATTTGAAATTCCAAGCGGCATCTTAAATTTCTGTGAGCCTTCTTTACTCCACCACTGCACATTTCATTATTTTTATGCTTATTACTATTCCAATCTCGAGTACCAATAGTCTATCAATAAACAATGTTACCCGAAAAGCAATAGCTTTACCAAAAGAATCACAAATCCACCCTGTACGAGACTCTTAGTAAATATCAGATCCTCAATTTGGATAGCTTTTCTTTTAAAAGTAAAAAAATTAACTCAAATTTAGTGCTTCTTTTCGAGACATCTGTTACAACAGCAATTTTTAAAGGGAAAATTACTGCGAAGCATCAAAACCACCAAGCACTTACCATGTCCTGGAATTTTCGTAAGCATGGCTACTTGAGTTCCATTGCCGTTTAGTTTCTAAGTAAGAATTGTTGCAGTTCAATAGAGTCATAATACACACACGCATGCACACAAGGATTCTTAGTTTATGATTCCCTTATTCATGACAAAGTAGGTCAGAATTTTGATTAAGACAAAAGCAATACCCGAGATTTAAAAAATTAATCAATTGACTAGGGTTATATTGGAAAGAAAAAGAGTAAAATACAAGTAGCTACAATGAATCCAAAACCTGAAGCCCCTGGTAGCAGTTTTGGGTTCTGGAAATTCTCGTGATCTCAATTACACTAGGCTGCAAGTATCAACCAAGGTTCACCAGATAGTATGGCCAGACTAACATTAGATCTTGATTTCCTTCATCCTTTAGCATATCTGTAATATATGACCTGTGCAGCATGGGAAAGCACATAGATGTAAAGCAATTCATCCACACAAGTTTGAAGGAAACACATTCCTTAAACCCTGAAAAGAGCGTCAATAGCAAGCGCCAATTTTCATGGTAAGCTGACTGATCAAGTGGTGGGGTAGATGATAAATATGAAACTGTTTCTCTTCAATTTCTTCTTTCCCTTCTGTTATCTACAATGTGCCAAGATTGACAAGTGGATGAACTGTAATCCCTTCCATGAGAATGGACTAATGACATTAATCATGTTTAGACTGATGCAGTTGGACTAGTGACATCAGCGTTTGCACTGTCAAAGGCAGCTCTCCCAGTTAACATCTTTATAGCTATTTCAGACACTTCAACAAACCACTCATCCTCTGGCAAGATACTGCCATTGAAAGGTTCTTAATTAGTATGTGGTAGTAGATAATAATGATGGCTAATTTCATCATAAATGTTCTATATGTGGTGCAGTCATGCAACTATAAACATAAATTTCCTTTTTATCCCTCTCTGCTTCCCATTGATATTTAATAATTATATAACCACATATGTTATTTAATCTAGATAGATATACCTGTTAGGATCTAGCCCTGTAGCAGCAACAGCATCAATAGCCCTACCAATGATGTTTTTAATAGCTTGATGTAGATGACGAGATAAGTAGCGGCCTTGAGATGAAAATATCATCACAAATTGCATATCCAAATAAAGCTGCATAATGGATTGAATAGTTAGTCTTTATTTTTGGTGAGTGAAACTAACCATTAAATATATCTTAAAAAATTCCTCACAAACTACCCCCTAAAAATAGCTGCTGTGTTAATGGTTAATGAATTCCTTCTGCAGATACTTAAAGAAGCTATGTCTGATTTTGTTGAGTAACAAAATTACAACGAATAGTACGGTTGTTTATCATTTTATACCATTTGAATGTCCATTAATTAAACCCTCGACTGGTCTTGACAGAAACCTTTAAAATGCTTACACCAGACATTTTTTTTCAGGCCTCTAAAATTAATTTTTCAAATAGCTTCCTCTTAATACTCTCACAACCTTTTATGGAGCATCAATTAAACTTTAATTCACAACAATTTGGAGTCACTCACAACAAATGACTCTACAGACTCATCTTCAAGTAACTACCTGTTGAAGGCCATGAGGACCCAATGGCGTTGGTCCTGTCTCAACCTCTTCCCAGAAGGCTTGGTCATCAGAAAGCCACAGGATCACTGTTTCTGCGAGTCTCATCAATAAAACAGTTGCAAATCTTTCCCTTCCCACAAAAACATCCGTTGCAATGCTTGCCACTAGAGTAAGCTTTGCAAAAATCTCCTGAAAAATAATGTAGGAGATGATAAACATTATAATTAAATAATGATCTATAATGCTTCTATCAATGCAACCATCTGAGTGCTAAGAGAAATCATGTTATAATGATTCAAATGCATAACAATATAGCATCAAAGGAAACATGCTTTGTGTTACAAATATTACCTGAAAAATTGGAGAAGGAAACCATTCAGGTGGCTCCACTTTACCATCCATACTCAAATATATTAATGCATTCAGACGCGCTTCTCCTTCTTCTGTGAAGATGAGCTCAAGAGCATGTTGCCGGCAGAAGCTGTCTCGCAGGCGATCAACTTCACGCTGTAGTATTTTCTTCAATTCACGCTGTTCTGGAGGCCTTTGTTTGTCTGATCCTCTTCTCTGAGATTCATCACCTCTGGTGCTATGTGCAAGCTTGACAACAGCACGAGGGAGAAGCTCGTCTGCCAACAATATTGCATTAGCTAGCAATGCTATCTGCTGTGCTTCAGTCTCAGCAATCTTAACAATTTTGTGCCCTGAACCTTCCAAGTTCTCAGTTACAACTGAACCTGGCAATGCATTTATTAGCAAATTGACATAGAAGTTGAACACTTGTAGAAGGCCTTCAAATGCAAGAGCATCCAATTGTAGGATTTCAAGAGGTCCTACATCTTCAAACAGCTCCTATTCACATAATGAAGAACTTTATTAAGCATTTCCATCGAAGAGACATAAAGGAGAGTGAAAGAAAGAAGCTTCATAATTACTTTTTCCAATATTATACTCTCTCAGTTGGCTGAGCCTCACTTTCTGGTAACATTATTTTTAAAGTGATACAGAATACTGAGCAATAGTTTGCTAAGAAAATCTTTCAAATGCAAACAATTCTGTAATCTTGATAAAAGATCTTTTTAACTTCGAACCTGGACAACAATGAAAATAAATACAAGAACTAAGTAATCACCTGAACCATTGAGTTGAATTTGTGAGCACTGCTTGAAAGTTTTGGCTGGGATGAACTTAAGTTACTATAAGAAGAAGATCGAGGTTCGCCAGAATTCCTGTTGGTTGGTGCATAAGCAAGCAACCAATCATCTGCAGCAGCCAGTGCAGCACTACTTTGTTCAATTCTTTTCAAATTTGTGTTCAGTGCTTGCTCAACAAAAGGCCTAAAATATTTTAGCAACACAGGGGAAAGGGCCATCCCAGTAGCCTCTAGCAGATAACAGTGACTCATGCAAACATGAACACATTCAGATGCCACTCTCAGACCTCCTGCAGCAGCTGTAGAGGCAAGAATGCGTTTCTTAAGGAGAACGGCGAATTGCTCAGCCTGTTTTACTGCCCAAGTTACTAGCTCAGAAGTATATGAAGGTTCTTCTCCAGCAAACAATGTCAAAGAATCTGATGCTGCTTGTGAAATGGTTGAAAAGACAAACTGCGAAAGTGTAGTAGTGTATGGTCCAACTCCACTATAAGTGGTGGATTCAAGGCCTTGTATGCTACGCAGCAACTTTTCTCGGTGAGATTTAAGCAGTAACGTATGAGCACGAGGACCGTCCCCAAGAGTTTTCAATGCCAACGCTGTTGATCGAATCTCGGCACTGTGAGTTGATGGCTGGCAGATGGTTTCCGCCAGCTGATCAGCTAGTCTTTTTCTGAGTTCTGTAATGGCAGTTTGCAATGACTCACATAAACCTGGACTTAAAGTTTTCCCTTCACTAATTTCTTTTGCAGTTTTTTCTCCTTCATCCAGAGCAACCATAGCTTCATCCACTCTTTTCTCTGCTAATATAACTTCAAGAGTTTCCATATATTCTATTAGCCATTTTTCTGTCTTGGATATATCTGTTTTCTCATTTAGTACATCATCCATGTCTGAGTCTTCGTTTCCACTAATCAAGGCACTAAGCTGACACCCTTGTGCTACACCTTCAACCAAAGCAGCTTGGGTGGATAGAAGATTTCTCATGGAAAGAAGCTCCCCCTCAAGATCTGAAATTTCTTTGGATGTACTGCATATAAATGTTGTAGTCATAATCATGCTTACAGATAGGGGATGTTCTTATTTTCAGGCAATTAGCCACTTGATATATTTATCAGTGTTTGGTAGAAAATCAAAAACCATTCTCTGCCCCTGGTTCAAAAATTTAAATATCTAAAATGGATCTTTAAATTTTGGTGTCAGTATGTCACTATATTGCTCACTTAGCAGCCTAAAGTTTTATATTAATATCCCCTTTCCACTCTTATTAACTTCCAAATCTAATTTTCTATTAACTGAATAAAAAAGTTTGAGAACTGATAGGAACTTTAATATAAAGAAGTTTGATAAAAAAAGCTTGTATATACAGAAGTTTGAGAACTGCAAGGAGCTTCATATTGGTAAGTTCCTGCCAGCATCTGACATAATTTTTCAATATAATACACTAAGGGAAAGGAACTAAGAACAACTAAGAATTCTCCATACACATAAATACCCGTTTCTAAACTTCATACACCACTTTAGATTCATAACATTGCAAGCTGTAGTCGGAAGTACTGGATTGACATTCTCATCATAATGAAAATTTCGTAAAATGGTAATACTTAAATCCTTTCAGAATTCATATATGATGCATAAGATTTTGAAAACGAATTAGAAAATATTCATCAGCTATTTAGCACTTTGGAGTGTGTTCTCACCGTATGAAGGCTGAGTAATTAGCAAGAACACTTTTGCGCATTTCTTCTGCTGAAGCCTTCTTCAGCTCAACAAGATTAGCACATAAGTGTCTTATCTCCTGTAAAATGTACAAACATTGGTAAATAGCATGTTTATTAATGATTATTTAGGCAGAAATAATCTTTTATCTTTTAAAAATTCTCGAAAAACTAGTAAAAATAAACGATTATTTTTCTAAAGTAAAATGAATCAAACACGCACTAAATAGGAATGCAGCAAAAGTTCCTCAATGAAATGGACAAAAAAAAAAGAGAAGATTTTTCCCCATATCATCACCTGACTTCATTTACCAAAAATCATTTTGACACTTGACACACATTGCATAAGAACAAACCAGATGAGCATCAAAATTATATAATTATAATTCCATTTTTAAAGCACAAAAAACTTGTTCAATTCTTGGGAGTTTGCGATCACTGAACCAGCCTGCATTGTACCCCTTTCACTAGGAATAGGATGAATGTCTAAACTAGCTAGAACTTGCAAGCTGCAACAAATGGCTTTTTCAATTGAGAAAAGATTGCCTATTTGCCTCTAGGATCATATCTAACATCTAACATAGTACACATATGAAACCTTCAACACTTGTTTTTGTGTGCATAAACAGTACTTATAAGCACAACACTCTTCAAACAACTCAAACTCAGGTTTTTATTTTGTCGCATATGCATATAATATATAGAGACACACTTCTCACATGCACATGTGGAACTCATGGATGTTACATGTCTTCTACAATCACAAAAGTTATAATTTTTCCGTTCATTGGAGGCATGATAAGTCATCCATAAATAGACCCATTTACCCAATTTTGCAATATTCAAAGTTGTAATATAATACAAGGAAGAGAAACGTAGAAATAAAGGGACCTTTTCGTTCATGCTGCGTGATTTGGTGGCGACATAGGCATTGGGATCAAAGGAGGAACTCTTGAAAATCTTAAGCCTTTCGCTGAGTGTGAGATTGGCTTCAAGCTCTGAAGAGTCTCCTATGCTCGATGAAAGAGATCCTCTCGGAGTCGTGAACGGTGACTGATCCATTGATGTTGTCTTTGTCTTTGTCTATATTGTTATTATATGCATGCAATATATATCGCAAAAGCAACACGCCACCGTTGAATGTTGTTCAATTCAATTGTGTATGGAGGAAGGATCGATGCAATGAAAGTAGAGAGAATGTGATCGAAGTCATGATTAGATTGATGAATATGATGTGACGATGGATGAGAATGTTATGTGTATACGAGAGAGAAGAGAGGTGCGGCGAACATGCATTGCAGCCATTCCAAACACGTAGGACTCGTAATGTTTGTGTTTTTTTATGTACCTTCGTACAATGTAGGGTTGTTTGTCATTAATATGCTCCATTTTTTGAAATATAAAGTTTTTATTAAATACAGTTAAATATGTAATATTGTATATAATAAAAATTTATATAGAATATACATTTACTAAAAATTATAGTATTTAATAATATTAATATATTGAGTTGCACTGAATTTTTGTAATATTTTATTATATGCAATTTTAAGTTAAAAATTTTAAAAATAGTATTGAAAAGTTCGTTAAAAATTAAGAAAAGAACGTGTTGTTATATTTTTTTAATTAGTATCTTGGACTTTATCTTATTTTAATTAGTGGTTCTGTTTAGTTTTTTAAAAAATTATTGGACGTGTCTTTTAAATTTTTTGGCATACATATTAATATGGAAAATTTAGTTGCTTGTTTGTGTATGTTGTTTATAATGGAATTCTGAAATGCTTTTCATTGAAATATCATATGGGATACTTAGAAAACAAAAACTGAAATTCTAGGGAAATTAGATCGGGTATTTTAACCTGTAAAATAAAATAAATTAAGGTAGTATTTGGTACGGGATTTTAAAATTTTAATAAATTTGAAATGTATAGCAAATTAATTGTTTTAAGTAAATTTAATTTCTTCTATAAAATATACTTTATATGGATGAAACATAAATAATTTAAATTTCTTGTATTTTAATTGTTTGTTGGGATGAAACAATTCAATTTCCTTTTTCTTTAATTCCATTTTTGAATATTTATTTATCAAATTGGGATTTAATATTATATTTTATTGATATTCGATGACTACAAAATGAATTATCAAGTACTTGACATTAACATCATTTAATGGATATAGTATACGCACCAAAAAACCTGACACTAATACTAATTTTGTATCTATAGATTAAAAACTTTATAACTATTAAAATAAAAGCTATAGCAATTAAGATTAAGGCAACACCAACTAAGATTGAACACTAGTTTGGTATATAAATTAATAGTTAGTACGACATAAATTTACTCAAAGAGTCAATTTTCTATCCTTATAAGTATTTTTTTCTTTAGTTTCTCTCTATTTTAAGATTTTTTTCACGTGTTTTTATATATACTTATAGAGTTGTTTATTTTCTAATCTTAGCCAGATGCTATATTCAGCTACCTATTATCTGAAGAACTTTATGAAAAAAAATTTTTAATTCAACTTCTAAAGAAAGCTTATAATAATTGAGAAGAGTTGGTGAGTGTCTGTGTTATTACTTGTTCATTAGGATGTGGAATAACAGTAAAGAGATTTAGTAAAAGACAATTATGTCATTATTGGAAGTGATAGGAGAGGTAGCTCTACGAACAAGATTAATGTTAGCAAATTAAGAGTCTTGTCTCGCCATTGTCCATTTGAGATTTGTGGAAGAGAAAAAGAAACATTTAAAAATTTGAAATGCAAAATGTATCACACGATTAAAAAATATTAAATGACATTTTAAGGTATGTTTTGAGAAAATATTATTGATGTTGAATTAGAAGAGAATTGCAGTTTAAGTACACTAAACTTGTTTTAAGTTTTTTTTTTTTATTTGAGTGTTCTTTTTACACGAACTCCCAATTTACCAAAAGTCTACTATCACCTATGAGACTGTGTCAAAAACCAAAGAAATGAGCATGTGTGAGCCTTTTTTATAAAATACTTCACTAAGTATAACTTAATTATTAAGATACTTAAGTCTTAAAAAAAAAAAACCTAAATATTAATTTTAATCTATGAGATGAGTTTATAAAAACAAGTGAATTTATTAAGAAACGGAATACTCTTAATTCCTAACCATCCCATTAGTCTTATATTAACTCTAAATTATAAATTTCTTCTTTGACCCTAGAAGGAAGATACAAGGCCGCAACCATGGTAGGCTCCAATATATATTAATCATTTTCTTAACTATTGTTGTAAGTGCAATAAATAAGAAATTTAAAATATATTTTTCATAAAAGTATTTCATTTAATTTTTTAACCATTCCCTTAACATAATAGATGGTGAAATTGATACATCCAAGAAACAACCTGAAAAATGAGAGAAAAAAATTGGAAAAAAAAAACAATAAAAGAAGAGAAGAGCATTACAACGACACGATCAACAAGTTGAATACATCACAAACGCATCGTGCGACCACGACCCACGCCATGTCTAATCCAAATCATTCTTCAAATGGTCTTCCCTCAACTCATAATCCTCCCCACTAAAACCAAACCATTTATTTCAATCTTTTTCATTTTTATATTGCAGATTCTTCTATGTTAACTAATATATCATTATTTTAAGGTAGTATTTCAAATACAATTAAAGTGATTACAGTATATTAAATAGTGCATTTTTAGAATGTTTTTCTAAATAAATATTGCACTAACTAAGGTATGAGGAGGCCCATAATCTATTAGTACTAAAATGGGAAGAGGTAATATTCCTTGAGAAAGAATGAAAAAGTTGACCACCGACCCAAATGGCAAATGGAGAATGGAGTGTGCAATGCATATGCATCAACTGTCCCCCTTTGCGGCTATTTCATGAAAGGTAAGTTTCGGCCCACAATTAAACTAAAAGAATTTTGTTTTGTGTGGGATGATTTTTAAAATATTTAATCATACAATTACTTAATTAGATTATTTTCTCACCTTTTTAGAGGGAAATGGTTTAATTAATATAATTATCTGATACATTATTGCTTTTTAAATGGTATAGAGTTAATTTCCTTAACGTATAAGTTAGTATCAGATTTTTGTTTTGATTTAAATTCGGAAGAAAAAGATTCTACCTATGGTATCCGTAATCCGTGTGTGCATGCAGTGTTGTGTGGCCCCACTTCTCCTTCGGACGATGTCGTTTTCAGTTTCCAAACTGAACTAATGAACAATGCCAACCTCCATAGGTTCCATGGCACGGCAATTGTGAAATTGTGATCTCTCCTTTCCCTTTACTTTGTATGGCACATATTTCTATTCATTTTACATGATATAATAATTAAAAACAAAATCTCAAATTTTACACAAACGATACATAGCATTACAAGCTTTCATTTATATCTCTTTCTGTGTTCTGCATTTACACTCAAGAAGAAGGCTTTTTCTTCCTTGCCCAAGGTGAGTTTTTTTTTTGTTTCTTAGGGTTAACAAGTTTCCAAAACGGTTGAACAAACTCAGAAAAACTAAACCCCACTGATTTTGTTCTTCTGGGTTAAGAAGGGGAAAGTAAAAGCTTCAACCTTTGGGGAAAAGATGAAGAGGGGTAAACTAGACCCGTTTGTGCTACCCAATAGGTTCACACTGCTTCAAATTTTTATGGTGGTGATACTTCTTTACTTGCTCTTCATGAGCTTCGAAATCCCCCTTGCTTTCAGAGCTGGGTTTGGTTCTGAAAATGGTGCTTTTGGGTTTCTCACCGACGCATTGCCCGTGCCCATGCCAGTGTTGATAGAAGAACCGCAAGAGAAGCTTGAAATTCGAGAACCCAAAGGAAAAAAGTTGAAGAAAGTTTCGACCTTGAGCTTCAATGGTAGCTTCTCTGAGGATTCTGAACTGCACAAGGTGGCGAGGCACGCTTGGCTCGCGGGGAAGAAGCTCTGGGGGGAAGTGGAAAGTGGGAAAGTTGAAAGCTTTGCGAAGGTTAATGTTGAAAACGGGTCGAACTCGTGCCCCAGTTCGGTTACGGTTTCTGGGTTGGAGTTTCGAGAACGGTTCAAGGGTGTGATGGTGTTGCCTTGTGGTTTGACTCTTTGGTCGCACGTGACTGTGGTGGGGACCCCACGTTGGGCGCATGCGGAGAGGGACCCGAAGATAGCGGTGGTGAAGGATGGGGATGAGGCGGTGCTGGTGTCACAGTTCATGATGGAGTTGCAAGGGTTGAAAGCAGTGGACAAGGAGGAACCACCTAGGATTCTGCATTTCAATCCGAGGTTGAGAGGGGATTGGAGTGGGAAACCTGTGATTGAACAGAACACTTGCTATAGGATGCAGTGGGGTTCTGCTCTAAGGTGTGAGGGGTGGAAGTCTCGTGCGGATGAGGAAACTGGTGAGTGGTTGTTGAAATGAAATGGTTTCAAAATGCTTTGTCATGTGTTTTATCAATTTAGTTTTGGTTATGGCGTTTGGTGAATGTGTTTTGGAGATTCAGTTATTTGATTCTTAGGGTTAAGGAAGTTGATTTGGAGTTTTCATGGTAGTTGGGAATGTGGACTCTTTTACAGTGGGGACTGTCTGAGCTGTGAGTAGGAGAAAAGATAAAAAGGACTTGACCCATGTTTAGTTTTAATTCCATCTCTTTTGAACAAGATTGACTATTATAACTGATTAAGTAATATCTCGAGTTTGCCTGAAAAAAATTAACTAATATCTCAAAAGTTCAACTTTTTATCTGATGCATGTCGTTGGATGATAGTGTAAAATTTTTTTTGCTCATTGGGTATTAAATTTGAATTCAAAGAGAAAGGGAGAAAGATTTTGCTTTTGTTATCACTTTTATTCTCTTTGGTGAATGAGTATGTTTTGTATGCATGTTTGTTTTCCCCTATATATTAGCATGTCTTGTTACATTGGACGTTGCGAGTGTGTCTGTGCTGATTTTCTTTATTTTGTGAAGTTGATGGACACGTAAAATGTGAGAAGTGGATTCGTGATGACGATAATCGTTCTGAAGAGTGGAAGGCAACGTGGTGGCTAAACAGATTGATAGGGCGAAAAAAGGTGGTGACTGTAGACTGGCCATATCCTTTTGTAGAGGGTAAGTTATTTGTTCTCACCATAAGTGCTGGCTTGGAGGGTTACCATGTTAGCGTGGATGGGAGGCATGTGACGTCCTTTCCCTATCGCACGGTGGGTACACTAATCATATGTCCTTCTACTGTATGAATGCAGGGATGTCTGAAGTGTATGTGTTATATTCATATTTCACAGGGATTTGCTCTTGAGGATGCTACTGGACTATCCATAAATGGGGATGTTGATGTGCACTCTATATTTGCTGCTTCCTTGCCTATGTCGCATCCTAGCTTTGCTCCACAGATGCACCTTGAATTGCTTCCTCAGTGGAAAGCTCCTCCTCTTCCCGATGTGAATGTGGAGCTTTTCATTGGTATCCTTTCAGCTGGGAACCATTTTGCTGAACGGATGGCATTGAGGAAGTCTTGGATGCAACATAACCTAATCAGATCTTCACACGTTGTGGCTCGATTTTTTGTAGCCTTGGTAAAGGGTCAATGCATCATCTACTCCCAAAATAATGATTAAAATCCATGATTATATAATTTTTTTATCTTAGTTTCTTCCATTTCTCATATGATAGCATGCAAGGAAGGATATAAATGTGGACATAAAGAAAGAAGCAGAGTATTTTGGTGATATTATTATAGTCCCATACATGGATCATTATGACCTTGTTGTGTTGAAGACCATTGCTATCTGTGAATATGGGGTGAGTGATGGGAGAAGAGTTGCTTATCTATGTATGCATTTTATATTTTTAACCTCTCTTGGATCTTGCTACAATATTGATTGTTATTGAATATGCTTCTTGCAGACTCGTACAGTGGCTGCGAAGTATATCATGAAGTGTGATGATGACACATTTGTTAGAGTGGATTCTGTCATGAGTGAAGCCAGACAAGTTCAAAGTGATAGAAGTCTTTACATGGGAAATATGAATTACCACCATAGACCTTTTCGCCATGGGAAATGGGCTGTAACTTATGAGGTATGATTTTTATCTTGGTTCCTCTGCTTTTGGGAGTACTTATTTGCTTTTATTTTTCTGTTTTTACATAAATTTATTGTAAGCAGTTATCTTTTTGTTCACTTATAACATAGAACCTAGTCTTAAAACAGTTGCATTTAGTAGTTTATTTTATAGTGCATTCGTAAGCTGTATTGGTGGTGGTTGATCCAATTAATTTTGCTGTTTTCTCTACTTGTCACCACCTGTAGCAGGATTTGAACCTTTCCATGATTGTTTTTAGATGCGTTGCATTTTACCACTTTTATCATGCACATTCTGAGGGTTATGCATGTTGGTGCTCATTTTTTTTGGGTTATAAATCTGTTTACAAAATCATTTTTTACCATTTTTTTTCCTAAGGAAAGTCATTTGACATTTGTTGTCAGACAAATATCTGACTGTTGAAACATTTGCATTCATAGGTCTAACTAAAAAATTGCAACTTATTTTTTGTGCTTATTATGATATTCTGATTGAATGATTACAAAATATTAACCTAACCAATTAACTTTTCATTGAGTTTCATATCATATGTCTTTAATTGAATGAGCTGAAGTTCCAGACATTGGGGAAATTCTATGGTGTTAGATACCCGTAAGTTGATTATATCAGTGAGCTGAAATACTTTGAACAAGGCTTGTTGCCTATAAGTAAGAGGTAGGTTGAGAGAGATGACATCTTGTCATTTGTAAGAGAACCAGGTTTCCATCTTCATTGTATTTTCATGACATTCACTGTCTTGGCCTTCTTGTTTCTTTAGTGATTCTGGATTGTCATCTCTATGTTTACTGCATGGAAACACTGCTGACATTTTTTTGTGCTTAACTTTCAGGAATGGGTAGAGGAAGAGTATCCTACCTATGCCAATGGTCCAGGTTACATAGTCTCAGCTGACATTGCTCAGTTCATTGTATCTGAATTTGAGAAGCGCAGATTAAAAGTATGTTTGCAACCCATCTTTATTTTTTATCTGTTCCCGATTCTATCTGCCTGCCTCTACCTCTAACTGCTTTAGTGTGTGTGCACCTGAACGAACATGTTAATCTCTTTTAGCTTGCTCGTGTACACCCAGGAAAAGTGTCATCCATTGACGACATGATTAACCAATTTCAACGTGGTGCAGTTATTTAAAATGGAGGACGTGAGCATGGGAATGTGGGTGGAGCAGTTCAACAGCTCAAGAGCAGTAGAGTATGTGCACAGCTTGAAGTTCTGCCAATTTGGTTGCATCGAAGATTACTACACTGCACATTACCAATCCCCGCGACAAATGACGTGCATGTGGAATAAATTGCAACATCAAGGAAAACCACTCTGCTGCAACATGAGATGACAATATGAGGATGGTATAGGTGATCACCACAAGGAAAGAAGAAAGATGCACAGCTACGAATGTTCTATGGTTATAATATATCTCTGTAAATAGGCACTGGTTTTTTACTTCCCTTTTGGAGGGGTGTTTGGGGGGATGTTAGTTTGAAATGGTGAGAAAGCTTGTATCCACCACCTATTGGTTTGTTGTGTTTTCCCCCCTATTTTGACCCATCCCCCAACCTTGAAAGAATAAATGGCTTTAGGAATATCAACATATTTAGAGTTAAAGTTGGATACTGCAGCAATCGGTGAAGGAACAGACCATTGGTTTGTAAATTTGTAACGTAGAGCAAAATGATGCAGAAGCAGAATCAAATTGCTTTTTCTGCTTTGACTTCATTTTCAATTGTTCTTTCATGCATTCAAGTTTGCACTACTAGGTGAAGAGCTATCTATTGTCATGTCTCGAATTGGTTTGCCTGTTTTGAAAGGCCAAAAGCAAAATTGAAGTGATCAAGTTCACATGTATTTCCCAACAAAGCCTTTTGAAAGTTTAATTAGTAATATATTACAATTTTATATGACAATGTTTTAAAAAATATCTACAAGATAATCTACCTTCAATTTAAAATCTCAGACTCAGAATGTTTGAAAAAAATTTTTACTTATCTTGCCACAAAACTTTTCCTGGATTGACCATTAAGCTTTAAAGTCAAATTTTATTGATTTCTAATATAATTTATTTTTCATTACAAAAAATTTAAAGCATACAATTTATATTTTTATTTTAAATTTGATTTAAATTTAAAAGAATGATACATTGCATTAAATCGAAGATATCTTACATTTTTAAATTAACTAAGCTTTAAAATTATTGAATTTTAATCAGTCATAATTTAAATTTTTTTTTTAAATTGAAGATATTCTTACAGGCTAACAGGGTTGCCGATTTTTTGGCCAATTAGGTCTTTCGCTTCTCCTTCCCTTATTCCGATTTTGAGGGATAACGTCTATGGAGTCTGTTTTTTCTGGACTCTGATGGTGTAGTTTTACTTGAACTTTTTGCTCTTTTTATAAAAAAATCAATTTAATCTCAACTTAAATTTTTATTTTTTATAATTTCTTTCTTAATTTTAAAAATAACACCTCTATCTAAAAAATTCATATTTAATAAAGTAAAATATTTAATATTTTTAAATTTCTTAAATTTAAAAACATTCATGTAAGGTATCTTTAGCCTTCAGTTAAAAGATTTAATACACTTTGCAAAAAAAAAGAAGAAAAAGATTTGATACATATATCATAATCTTCTAATATATCTTTCTATTTGATTTTTCTTTTTTAAAGTATAAACACGACTTTTCGGTTGCGCAACCTTTTCCCACTTACGAAATCATCACTTTTTTTTTTTTTTTAAATATCATCTCACCAATTTAAATTTAAGTTTAAATTTAAATTTTCGACACGCCATGTAAATTAATAAATATAAAATTTGTGTCATAATTGAAATAATAAATTTTCATAACAAACAAATTTTCTTAGCATCATATTAGTTATTTTTAAATTTAAATGCCGTTAATAAATAAAAATAAAAGAGAATAATTTTTATTATTATTCATAATTAATATTAAATCGAGTAAGATTACATTAAATAAATAATACTTTCCAAATTGAAAATATATATATATATATATATATATATTAAATTGTTAAAATCAAGTTAAATCACCTTTATTGATTTGCAGTATCAAAACTTAAAAAAAAAATTGATTAAAATTATAATAATATTAAAATTATTTTATATCGAATAAAACATCTTTAATTTGATGTACGTTGTGTATCAATATTTAAAATTATCTTTAATTTTGTATCTAATAAATAAGTTTTTAACTGTACCTTTTCTTTTTATAAAATACGTAATTTTAGTACTATTCAATAATAGATTTTTAAAATCTTTAACTAAATAATAGAAAATTTTATACTTTCCAATTTTACAAAAATAAAAAGGAAGTCATATAATGTATGATAATATTGTAATATCTTTCATCGATATGCACAACAAATAAATTTAAAATTTTATTTTTTAAAAAATAATATCTTTTTAAAAATACTATCTGTTTTCTGTTATCTGTTACAATAAATAAGCTAATCAACATGCGATTTAGGGTTTGTTAAAACCATTTGTTAATCTACTTCTCCAATTTACTTATTAATTGATCCCCTTTTCCTATCAAGTACAAACTAAATTTACCAAGATTCAATCATGCCTTCTGCGCCATTTCTTTTCTCTTGGGAAGTGATTTGTGTTCCTTTACATGAAATAGAGTTAGAAAATTATCGAGTCTTTGAAGAAGAACATTCAGGTAGTTATTTTAATGTTAAGGTCAATGTTAGCCATCAATTATGTTTTACTCAGCCATCACCACACCCACAACAACCTCCATTAATAATACCCTTTGATGGGTTTTGTTTTCAAAGTTCCATGTTCGTACCTACTCAAGAATTCCTAGAAGATGGTGCATCATGCATCCAAATGAACTTTTCTAATGCTTTCATTCCTAACGAGTTGATTAGCAGCATGATGCCAGACGTGATATCTTATGGCAAAGCTGTGATTCAGAATTGTCGTTCTGATTACGTTTTTCAAAGTCCTAAGTTGCGTTTATTCACTTTAGTTTTGGATATTTTCGTTCAATGTTTGTACGATGAGCGTGATAATAACATCATCAACATGATCATGGGCGAGTCTGTGAGAGAGGTACACATGGTTCCTGCATCAATGACTGCCATTGAAACCATCAAGAAAGTGAAGCTAGAAGAAAGTTCTATGGTTGACCAGTGTAGTATTTGTCTAATCGAGTTTGATAAAGACATGGAGGTTTCGATGATGCCATGCAAGCATGTTTATCATCAAGAATGCCTCATCAAGTGGCTGAAAACGAGTCATACGTGCCCTCTATGTCGATACTCTATGCCTACTTCATGAGTTGATTAGACAGTGTAAAAAAAAAAAAAAAAAGAAATTTTTATTGAACAAATTTTGATACCTTGTTATAATAACTTTTTTTATTAAAATGTATTAATCTACCAAATCAAAATATGTTTGCAGATTAAGAAAATATATGAAAATTTCAAAACAATTCTTTATTTTATACTTTTTGCAGTAAGTTCTAGTTTAATTCTCTTATTCTTATTATAGATAAATGGATAAAATGTGTATATGTGTACATACATATACTGTTTAATAATTATCTCATATAAATTACTCTCTTATATGTTTTTTAGACTAGATTTGTTCAATTAATTAAATATCTTTCTTTTGATTAAAATATATATATATATGATTATACGGTCATTTCCAGTAAAATAAATATAATATATTTATTTTTAAAAAATTTACTCAAATTTCAAGAAAACAAAATTTAACTTTTTTGTAAAATATTTCATATTTTATATTCAATTAAATATATAGACAATGACAAGATTAATTATACAATAAATATTATCATATAAATAAATTGTTATTTTAATAATATTTAAATAATAATAATATATTATTATATGTTGCTCGTTATTTATAATATTAAATATAAATATTATAATTTACTATTAAAATAATTTATAAAATCACATATAAAGAATTAATTTACTAAAAAAGTGAAAATTTACTTAGACTAAAATTATTATCTAATTAAATCATACTCATAAAAAATAAATTTAACAGTTGAATTATGTTTATTAAAACATTTTAAGGAGCTGCATAACTTTATTGTCTCCTTTGATACTACTAATAAAATATTGATGAAAAAGTTCTATTAAAAATGTTGATGTAAATACTTAGAACGATATTGTTATAACCGACATGTTCATTGTTAATGTAAACCTAAAACTAATATAACTATGTATGTGTATGTATATTTTAAAATATAAATTTTGCATGAATATTTATAGATCATTATATTACATTGTAATTATTATATATAACATTTTTAATAAAGAAATCTAAATATATGCTAATTTTGTTGAATTCTATTGATTTTTTAACGCATACTAACAATTTGAGTGATAAGCGGCTTGGTATTGCTTAAGTAATCTCCAATGGCAGACTCATCCATCACATTCAAATGCGAGACTTTAAACTGGATAGAAAACAAAAAAAAAATCAAATTGTTTAACACATAATAATATTATATATTAAAAGGAATAATAGTTGTCAAATTAATATATTAACTTTACTTCAAGTTAAGAATTCCTCGATAGTTTCAAACTCTGGTCTAAGAACATTATGAATTTTAAAAATAATATTGTTGATTGGAACAAAAATACCTTTGAAAATATTTTTCAAAGAAAAAAATGTATTTTAAAGAGGCTTAAGGATATTTTTTGTAAATTGTGTGAGAGAGGGAATCATTTTCTCAATAACCTTATGAAGTCTTTATGGGCCAATTATCAAGAAATTTTAGAACAGGAAGAAATTTTTTGGTACTATCGCTATAGGTTTAATTGGATTAAGCTTGATGATAAGAATAATAGCTTCTCCCATAAAACTGCAATTATCCATAGACATAAGAATCACATTGCAACCTTTAGCGATGACAACAATAACTGAAAATATGACCCTATTATACTGAAGAACCTTGTTATTAACTATTTTAGGACCATCTACTCTGATCATAGGCCTCTTAGGGGGCCCTACAAACTGTTACTAGTTCCCCCTCCTCTTAGTAACTCTGACATGGCCTCCCTAGATGCTGATATTTCTATTGAGGAGGTTAAATCTTCCTTGTTCAGCATTGGTAACTTTAAGTCTCATGAGCTCGATGGGTTTCATGCCATATTTTTTAAATCTCCATGAAATTTGTTAGCCCTTTCTATTTACCAGTTTATCTTAGATACTTTTAACAGGCTTGGTGACATTGAATCTATAAATGATACTTCTCTTACCTTAATTTCTAAAATTGATTGTCCTGAGCACCTAAAAAACTTTAGGCCTATCTCTATTTGCAATGTGAGTTATAAAATTATAACTAAGCTAATAGCCCATAGAATTAGGGGTTCTCTAGACTATTTAGTTTCTGCAAAACAAACTAGCTTTATCCCTAGTAGGCAAGGAATAGACATGTCCTAATTCTTCAAGAGCTAATACACTCCTTTAATAGACTCAGGATTAAGAATAATTATATGATAATTAAACTTGACTTGGAAAAATCATATGACAAGCTTAAATGGAGTTTCATTAATGATATTATCCAAAAAATTGGTTTCAACACTAAACTGATTGACCTAATTTATAAGTGCATTTTCTCTTCTACCATGTCTATTAACTGGAATAATAAAAGGACTAAAGAGTTTAGGCCAGCTAGGAGAATTAGGCAAGGTGATTGGAAATACTTGCTCACTTAATTCAAGATAGAGTTAATAACAGTGATTGGACTCCTTTTTCTTTTCACTTCATTGGTCCCAAATCTCCCATTTATTATTTGTTGATGATATTTTATTGATTGTTAAAGCTGACTGTAATAATGTTGAGGTTATAAATTCTGTTTTGAATGATTTTTGTACAGCTTTAGGATTATCTCTTAATAAAACTAAATCATCTATTTCTTCTCTAGAAATTGTGATATTGCTATGACTTAGGATATTAGCCTTAGGTTAGGTATTAGAATTTATAACCAGTTTGGCAAATACCTTGGTATTTCCATTAGCCATCTTAACCCCACCAGAAAAGACTTTGCTTTTTTAATAGACAAAATTAGGAAAAAGCTTTCAATTTGGAAAATGAACTCTTTAACTATGGCTGGTAGGATTGTCTTAGCTCAGTCTTATATCTTAAGCATCCCAACTTATTTCATACAAAGTATGCTGTTTCCTAAAGCTGTTTGTAATAAAATTAATAGTATTTGTAAGAAATTTATTTAGGATTCTTTAGGTGGTAGGAAATGTCATTTAATTGGTTGGAAAAATTTTTGTAAACCTAAGATTAAGGGTGGTTTAACATTTCGAGACAATTTCCTTGTTAACTAGGCCTATTTCATGAAACTGTGTTGGAGGTTTGTCACATCTCTTAATATTCTTTAGGTTTGGATTATCAATACAAAATATAACTTTACCTTAGGTAGAATTCTCAGTGTTAGTAATAGCAAGTATTCCTCTCAGTTATGGAAGAATATGGTCTCTGTTTGGGCTACCTTTCAAAAAGGATTAGGATGGATCATTGGGGATGGTTTGTCTACTAGGTTTTGGAAGGACATTTGGCTCCCTAATCAACAAAGTTTAGTTAATCATGTGCTTGAGCCTGTCCCCAGGGTTGAGTTAAATGACCCTATTGCCATGTTTACCCCTCAAGGAGACTGGGATTGGTCCAAGCTTAAGAGAGTTCTTCCTGAGTATTTCTGTAATAATATTGTCCTCCTAAGGCCCCTTAATTTGGCAGGAGGTCAGAACCTTGTCTTTTGGAGATTCTTTAGTAATGGGGTTTTCTCCTTGAAATTTGCTTATGATTTTATTTTCAATGGTGCTCCTAATATTTCTGATTGTGATCCTAATTTTAAGTCTGTGTGGAGCTGGAAAGGTCCTCCCAGGATTTATGTTTTCTTTTGAAAAGTTTCCCATGGTCGCCTCCTAACTAATGTAGAAAGGTTTAACCGTGGCATATCTGCCTCCTCTATTTGCAGTAGGTGCAATGAGACTCCTGAAACAGTCATCCATGTGCTCAAGGATTGTTGGTGGCCCAAATAAATTTAGGACCAGTTTGTCCTCCTTGGTAATTGTGTGTCTTTCTTTAGCTTTGATCTAAATAGGTGGCTGACTATTAACCTTTTTAAGAATAATTCCTTTCAATTTTTGCATTGGAATAGTTTGTTTCATATAATTGTTTGGAACCTGTGGAATAATAGGAATAATATTATTTTCCAGAATCAAGTGATGAAGCCCTTTTGAACAAAATTTTGTATGATTTTGATGCTTTGCAGTTTTGTGATAGGTCTAAGCAGAGGACTGTTCCTAGTTTGATGGAGATATAACGTAATGTTAAATGGACCCCTCTTAGAGAAGCAATTTAAACTCAAAGTTGATGGATCAGCTTCTAGTAATTTGGGGTTTGTTGACTGTGATCTTATTCGAGATAGTAGAGACAAGTTTTTTTACTGGCTACTATAGTTCTTCGGAGTCTTGCTCTTCCCTGGTAGCCGAACTATAGAGTATCTATTTGGGTATCTATCTTGTTATTAGTAAAGATATTCATCTTATTTGAATAGATTGTGACTCTTTAGATGCGATCTCCTTAATTGTAAACTTTTATCCCTACTCTCACCTCATTTATTTTGTAATTAGGGAGATTAGATTACTATTGTCTAAAGTTCAACTTATTAAGTTTAGTCATTCTCTTTGAAAAGCTAACTAATGTGCTAATTGGCTTACCAAGTGTGGGTCTGAAGCTAGTTTAGTACTTTCTATTTTGATGAACCCCCAACCTCCTTAGTCTCCTTCCTTAGAATGAATACGTTGGAGTTTACCTTTCCTAGGCTAAAATGCTACTATGTTTTGTTTTGGGCTTTTAGGCTCTTGTTATTAGAAAAAAAAAATTAACTTTACTCATTTTTTTTTGTCTAATACTGAAGACTAATAATTTGTGGTAGTAATTTTAAAAATTGAATTAACATCTTTTTTTGTAATTTTAATACATAAATTACTTATAATATAAATTTAAGGTATAAATTAATGATGTGCTCTTATTAGAAAACGATAATGTGAAAATAATTGAATCCATATTTTAGTTTGGTTCTGTTACCTAATAAAAAAATATATACATGTGGTAAATGTTATAGGAGAAACTGTTATTCTTAGGAAAAATAATTAGATTTGTATACATTAAAAGATTATATCTTCATTAGCATACCTTTTTTTCCTTCTAAATTAGCATATATTGTTAAAAATGAAAAATATATCAAAATATTGTTTGCACATTTGTTTGAATCTAAGTTGTGTAAAAATGTGGTATTCTTGTGTAATTGTTATATCATATCAGTACCGTGTAGATGTTTACCCTGTTCATTTCGATGCTTTCTAGATGAAACTTCAAGGCCTATTGCTATGAGAATAAATATGTAGGCCACCGTCTGAGGTAATAGAGATAGATAAAGCAATAAAGTTCCCCTGACAAAGTTAGAGATTCTTTGTTAGTGGATAGAGACTAAAGGCTAGGAATCCCATTCCATATCCCATACTGTTCTATATATTATACAGACTCCATTCACCCTCAACCTTTATAACCCTATCGGTTAGATTTATGAATAACAAAAATAGTTTTTCTAATGTGTTTAATCACCCGTGGTGCACTTTTATTGAAAATTTTAGTATTTAATGCATTAAATTCAGTAATATTATATGGTTAAAATCAAGCTAAATATATGGTATTTAGGTGCAGTTCATGCAGGAAATATATATATTTTTTATTCTCTCAATATTTTTTTAAATTTTTTTTCATTGACAACACTTAATTCAAAATTATACTTTGGAGGAATTAAGTCAACGAAGATTTACATGCAGGCTACCAATCATAAATTCCATATTTTTATTTTTATTTTTTTGCATTCACTGACTTCAGGACATAAATGAACTGAGATTAAAATTACAGGTTGCATGTGCTCACATCTGCCACCCGAGGAAACCGGAAATGAATGGCCAAATTCTTTTAACCAAAAAAGGCATAAATGATTTCCCCCATAACCATGAAATTTCCCAATACTCAAAAGTCAAACCTATGAAATCCTTTAGAGGTATTTTGATTGGTTACATTTTTGGGTCATGACTCCTGAGCTTGATTGTTGAAGTACCATCCATAATAACTTACAAGTAGAACCAAACAAAGGACCATGCCAAAGGATAGATCAACCAAGCAACCCCTGAAAACAAAGGGCCAAAACAATGTTAGCACTAGTCATCCTTACAAATGAATAAATGATAGGCTGCAATTAAATAGTATAATAAGGAACAATTTTGCTTACCATTTCTAAAACCACTATTGTAAGATGATGCAAAGAAACAATCTGTTGTTGTGTTAATCCCATTAGGACAATTGCAGATAAATGAACTATAGGCTCCACTGTACCCACACACACCATAGCTCCTTTCACAAGCAGCACATGAGCTAGGATAGTCATTTGTAACACTGAACTTGTACTTGAGTGCTATTCCATAGTTCCACTTTTCAGGATCCGATTGTTGATCGTTGAAGTTGTAAAATCCAGTGTATGAAGGGCATTGCAGCTTCTGTAGATCCATTTCAAAAGATGGGCCAAGATTAACTGGAGTGTAAACACAACATGTGGAGATGGGGAGGTTAATGGTACTAATAGGCTGACACGTATATAGAAGACTACAAATTGGTGACCCTTGATCACATAGAAGCTTAGAATTGCTCCCATCATCATAGCCATTTGATTTGCATATAGATGATGAATTCATTGCACAGTCTACAAGAGCAAAGATGGTACTATCATCAAAACTAAACGGGGCATCCCAATTCAAGCCAAAGCCTTTGCTAGGCACAGTGCAAGAGCATGTTGACATGGTGGGATCTGAGATGTATATGACTTGATTGGTATAGTCAATTGAGGTAACAGGGTAGGACCCTGTGTGAGTGGTGAAGGTGAGCTTTTGTTGGCTACAAGTTACATGTGGTTGGAACCGAGGGTCACCACAACCAGGGCCACTGCCAAATGGGTACTTAAGAGTGTCTTTGCCACAGTTTCTCTGGCAGATTTGAGAAGAGATCAAAGAAGGATGTAGGAAAAGGAAAATAGAGAGAAGAAGAAGTGAAAGGTAGCTTAACTCCATTGGTATTGATAGGCTGAGAGAGGACAAGGAAAGAGGCAAAGCAAGAAGAGGAAGGAGTAGCTACTAAGTTTGATGTTGGTGTTACTATTTATTGAATTGTTGAAAGCCTCTTGCTAAGTTACCGGATGAATAATTCCTTTCTGAGAAGTGGAAATAAAATGGAAGCAATAAGGAACTTGCGTTTTTGCTACACATGGATTTGTTTAATGCTTTTCATGGTACGCTGTTTAATGCTTTTGTTTATATTTTTTCTTCTGCTAGTATTAGACTAATTAGATGGTTTGGTTATACTAGTTATCATCTGTTCTATATCGTTACCATACTAGAATTTTGATTTATTTCCCTTCTGATCTCCACCTTCATCTATAGTATGTTTAGTTTAAAATTTACATTTTAAAATAAAACAATTGATAAGAAGTTAAGAGCACATTCATTATTTCAAATTGCATACTAAGAAATCACATGATCACATGCTTTGGCAGCCCCAGCAATACAAGTCACAGACAATTGTGCTTGGAGTCTAAAACCCTTGATTTCCACTATACTATATCATGTGATGAACGTTTGGATTTGGAGTAGATCTGTTTTATATCTGTTCTATAAGGAATTTTTGCATTACATAAATACGTATATGGTCATTTGATATTATTATATTTATCTTTCAGTTTGTACAAATTAAATCAACTTTTGTATATGTCTACATATAATTGATTAACCCTATACACTTTTTTATTTATGAACACCGACAGGGCAATACTCTCCTATTTATTCCAAATAAGTAAAGATTTTATAGAAGAAACAGTAGATACCAGCTTCACTCTTCAGTCCCTGAAACAAGGGTGACCAAACGTTTATAAGCTTTTCAAGGCTAATGGTGAGTACGCACTTGCTGCATATATAACAAGTAAAAAAGGAATAAAACTAAAAGACATGAGTAGAATAATGTAGTAATGATTACATTTATACTTTTCATATGCTTTTTTCTTCCATCCATATAGTTTTTTCTTCTTATTGTTATCCAATTATTTTCCACTGAGCAATTACCTCACGCCTTCAGCCATTTGGCCTAAAGTTGGTGGAAAGAAGAATATTTAAAACGCAAATAACTTTAAAAGAGAATATATTCATCCATTATTATACTTTTTCACTTTATTTTTTTCCTGCACATTTTTTACTTCACTTGCAACAATCAATGTTATATTATATGAACATTTCTTATGTAGTCGAGGTACATTTTTTTTCTACTACAGTTCACTGTGCACTAAAAAAATGCCATTATTACTATATTAAAAAAATATAAAATATTAGGATAACCTTTGTTAATATAATTTTTGTCTAATAAAAACTAAATTATTAATATAATTTTTAAGATTTATACTAATAATATAATATATTAGACTAATAAATAATTTTATTAATAAAAAATTAATATATTAAATATAAGTATGATACTTTATTTATTAACATAAACTTTCAAAGTTTACATTAATAATTTATTCTTTATTAAGTAAAGATTATCTTAACACTTAACTATTTTTTTAATAGATGATAATTTTTGTATAACGATGTGAATCTTCTCGACTTTACATGAAGAATTATAAAATTTTGGTTGATATCTTGGTTTTTTAGACTAAAGTATCTTTCACAAGAAATAATGCTACTTAAGTTGAATAAAATTATTCTAAAGACTAAGTTTTTTTCTTAGATATTTAATACGAATATTTATTTAAAATTTAAAATTTCTTATTAATTAGAATAACCATATAATAATTCATTCACAAGCTCATTATTTTTTATATATATGATCAATTTTGTCTTAATAATTTGCATATTTCTTAGATGCAAAGTAGTAAAATAATAACGTGAAGCACTAGTGGTCTAGTGGTAGAATAGTACCCTGCCACGGTACAGACCCGGGTTCGATTCCCGGCTGGTGCAAGTTCTATTTGCCTTTTTTAAATTTAATTATTTGATTTTTGCATATTATAGACAGTTGTATTATTAAAAGTCGAATTCGGAAAAACATATTAAGTTTTAACATTTTTATTAATTTTATTTAATTAATTTTCACACATTATGATAATAATTTATAAATATATAAAATATATTTCCTTAATAATCACCTCTAAATATACTATACCAATGTAAGATGTTATTTTCATAAATAAAATTAAATACAAGCATATGAATTTTTCTCGATTTTAAAAGTTAACTTCAAATTTTAATTAAATATATATAAAAAAAATTAAATTTTTATTTATCCAACAATTTGATTTTTATTTTTTTTGGTTCTATTTTCATTTCATTAAATTAAGATTATTTATGGTTAGAAGTTTTTGTGGCTTGGTATAGATATTTTGAGAGCAAATTACCTCATTCGATTATTAAAAAAAGAAACTCAAAATTTGATTTGGAATAGATATTATGATTTTTTATCTTATTCATTTTATTTTATTAAAGAAAAACATTATAAATTTTTAGTTCACAAAATTAACTGGCGTGCCAATAAGTCACAAAGCAATACATATTTTTCTTTATGCAATTTCTTTTATTATTATTACTTATTTTCATTCAAATATGCGTTATGCATTTTTCGAAACATTTACACTTTTTACCAACCAGCAACTTAATGGTTGCTAATGCTAGTCATTTTTTTAATTATTTATATATCAAAAATATAATAACGGACAAATATTTTCAACTTTGCAAGTTGGGTAGTTATTTTATTATGATTTGAATAGAAACTGATAATTGGAAAACAAATTATGGTTTGAAAAATCGTATTTAAGTGTCTAAGAAAGCTTTCAATGTCAAAATTTTCTTGTATGTGTTATTAATATTAAGATATTTATCCCTTTTGAGGAATAAAATTTTTAAAATAAATTCATTTCTTTTAATAATTTTTTATACATATGACAAAAAATTTTTTAACTTTAATCAATCTAATTAAATGATTCAAGTATCTATTAATCGTATCAGATTTTATTAATGAAATTGTGCTGTCTCACAGCCTCCACATTACAGGCAACCTTAAGTAAGTAATCTTCAAAGTCTTAAAATATGCCATAGTACATTCTCTAAAAAAAATTCCAACACTTAACTTTAGTATCCAGAAACTCATTTTGTAAATATTTCTAACTCAAATAGGAGTTTAGCGAAAGTCTGTGTTAAAACCTTATATTTTGTATGACCTTTCCTGACAGAATGTCTAATTTTTAATATTATTCTTCTTTACATAATTTTTCTTTCAAAGAAATTAACGAAATTTGTTTTATTTTCTTAATTAATTACACCGTATAAGTTTTTTTTTTATTGTATATTTTCTAAATAACGTGAAAATTAATAAATAAAGTCAAATTGTCAAAGATTATTAAAGTCAAATTGGTGGATTGAATATATTATTTATGCTTCAAAATGTACGCTGTTGCCACTATTAGTAGGTAGTTTTCCTATCTCGTTGTTACATCCACCAACAATTAAAGACACCTAGTTTACATCACAAATAAGCAGATTTGTTTTGTAGACTGTTTTCGTCTATTATTCGAGTAAAAGTTTCTTATTATAAAGCATTTCTCAAATATTAAATTGTTGAGAATGGGTGAGGCTGTCGTAACAGTTGGCTCCTCAACCTTGATTTATTGCGTTTAAAAACAGTGGGTGTTGTCGTGTTTGACTATAAAAAACACAATTGTGTCACTCTCCGACTTAACTTTTATGAATATGTTGGAGTGATGAATGCCTCCCCATCTGTTATCTAAATTTTGAACATAAACGCCTCAGAACCTCTCGTTACCCAATCCCAACATACCAAAGCATAGACGAGTCACAGTTATGGCTAAAAATGATGACTTGAAGCTTTTGGGTGCCTGGTTCAGCCCATTTGCTCTGAGGGTGCAAATTGCCCTTAACCTTAAGGGCTTAGACTATGAGAATATTGAAGAGACCTTGAACCCCAAAAGTGACCTGCTTCTTCAGTCCAACCCTGTCCACAAGAAAGTCCCAGTTCTCCTCCATGCAGGTAAACCCATCTGTGAATCTTCCATCATAGTTGAGTATATTGATGAGGTTTGGACCAATGCTCCTTCCATCCTTCCAACAAATGCTTATGATCGAGCTATTGCTCGATTCTGGACTGCCTACGTCGACGAGAAGGTATATATTTATGTTCCTGTTTTTTTAATTCCTTTTGGTTTTGCATCTTTAAAGGAAAAAAAAACTTGATTTTTGAAAAATCAAGTTCTTAATTTAAGCTATTTATTTAATTTGATTGAAATTATATAATTTCTTAATTTTTTGTTCCTACTATGACCAGGCATTCGTGTTCTTGCGAAATATTCTAATGAGTGAAGATGATGAAGAAAAGAAGGCACTCTTTGGGCAAATGGAAGAAGTGCTTGACAGGATGGAAGAAGCGTTGAAAAAGTACAGTGAAGGAAAGGCCTATTTTGGAGGAGATACAATTGGATGCATTGATATTGCTTTTGGGAGCTTTTTGAGATGGATCAATGTGATAGAGAAGATGAATGGAAGGATAGTGCTTGATGAAGCAAAGAACCCTGTTTTGGCCAAATGGGCTGAAACTTTTTCTGTTGATCCTGCTGTGAATGGCCTTCTACCAGAGACTGATAAGCTTATTGAGTATGCAAATGTTCTCAAGCAAAAAATGGCTGCTATGAAGCTGCAAAATAATTAGAACTTCCTGGGTTTAGAATTTGTTGTCTAAGTTTCTATTTTATTTTCAGCGCTTCTTAATTTCTTCTGGTCTGTATGCACTGTGTGATGTTCGAAAGCAAATTTAATGTTTTACACTGTTTGGTCTGTGATTTCAAGTTTCAAGTGGTCAGTGTCATAGTCAAGGAAAGAGGCTTGAACGTCCCAACTACAATAATTCATGGATCGATTTCAATGGCATATTCCACTAAATATGTCCTTTAAAATAGAGGTATTTTCTAATTTAGTCGTTGAAAAAAAATCATTTATTTTAATATCTTAAAAATAGAGACTTTTTTTAATTTAATTTATAATATAATTTGTTCACATGCTAACAAAATAATTTTTTTAGTCACATTGCATTTAATGTGTCACGTGGTACATTTATTGAAGTTAATTAGCGATTTCTAAATAAAATATAATAATTAATTAATCACATTTTCAGAAACTAATTTTGATATTTTTTTATTCAAAGCTAAAATAATATTTTTTTTGTCTTTTTATAAGAAATAAAATAGAATATTTTTTTAATTTTTATTATAAAAAATTAATAATAGATGCAAGATATATTAATTGTTAAATTTTTTTATATTCTTTTTTATTAGTATTATTAAATATATAAATTACTAGCTAAACTATTTAATATCATAAATATTTTTAAAATAAAATTTATATTTATGAAAAATATAATAGAATTAATTATTTTTTTTTGTTTTTGGTGATTTAATATTTTATTTTTTATCAAAAAGACCGGAGGGAGTAATACATTACATATTCAATAATTAATTTTAATAACTTTTTTACAAACAAATTAAAGATTTAATCATGCAGATTATTTTGTTATTAAATTTTATTTTTATTTATATTTTTAGTTTTCAATGTGTAGATGTGTATCACTGGAGCTAACAAAATGGGTTGTCAAATTTATTTAGGTTGACTCATTGGTAGGATTTATCGAATCAACTAAAAATGTTTCAATCTATTTCAAACTCACAAAATTTGAATTTTGCAAGTTTTTACATACTTAATTTGCGTTAAACTTGACTTTATCGGATTAAAAAAAATATAAACATAATTTAAAAACGCATTTTACATTTTATCAAATAAATTAATGTCAACGTGGTTAAATTAATGTCAGCTATATGTATGGATAAATTATCATTTTAGATTTTTATTTTGTAAATTTTTGTTCTTTATTTAATATAGACTTTATTTTAGTCTGTCAGATGTTAAAACATCAATTACCTCAATCTTTTTAGTTAGTAGGCAATTAGGCATTAACAATATCAATTACAGGACATGTTAATATAGGAAGTTAGAAGATGCCATAGGAGCTTTTGTTTGTTGGGCTTTGGGCCTGGCTTGGTATCAACTTTAACAAAAAAAATAAAACCACAATTGAGGAAATGGATCACAAATTTAAGATTTAGTGAGAGGAGATTAAATATAAATTTTAATAAATATATTTTTAAAAGTCACACATTATTAATATTGACTAATTATAAAGAATAACACGAAATATATTTAAGTTAGGAACCGAAATAAAATTTTATATAAATTAAGAACCAGACCGCTAAGTGTACACAAAAATTAAGGTGTAAAATAATAATCTACTTAATATTGAATATGACACAAACACACAAGAGATCAAGCAAAGCCAGATTACCTGTAACAGCCTATCTATCTACAGATCTGGATTTTTTTAATATATATATATATATATATATATATATATATCATTTTATCTTTGTATATTAAACTTAAATTTTTATTTTAAAATAAGAGATTTTTAAGGAGGATTTTAAACATAAATATTTTTAACAGTTTTTTTTTATTATATCTCGTGACTTTTGTTACATTATGATTTTAAGGTTGTTTATTATTTATTTTAAAAAGTAAAAAAAAAATAATGTACTAGATAAAACATTGTTTTGTCATCATCACAGAAAAAGGATCTCAAATATTCCTTCGACCTCGTATTAGAACAAATGGTATTCACATCCTTACCCTTCCAATCATATTAAAATAAATCAATAAGTTAATTAAAAATTAATAATCGATAATTGATAAGAAAAAAATTAACTATTTAAATAATCAGAAGATTAAAATAAGACTGAGTTATGAAGCCTATTAAGCTCAATATTATGTCTATAAAAGAAAAGTATAAAGTACAAGAAATGTGTATTGACTTCAGAATATTAAATAATATTTATTATTTTATACCGAACACTGACTTCACCATCAAAGTGCCTTCTCTCACGTTATTATAGAAGAGAATCTAAAATATGTTACAATAACGTCATATCAGTAGATTAGAAAAGCTACTACAGAATACAAGTGTATATTTAACTGGAACAAATAAATTTTTATATTTATATTTATATTTACTTAAAAGAAAAATAAATTTTACATTGCATTGATTAAAAAAAAAGAAAATACAGCGAATGTTAAGATATTAAATTATGCACTATAGACCCTTTCCCGTTGAACTCAAAGTAAAACCTTCAAAGGAATGTTTTCCAAAAACCTTCCAAACCCATTTTGTCCACATGAATATAACATGACAAAAACAATTAAAACTGAAAATGTGTTTGAATTGTGCAAATTATTGTTTGATACGTATGGATTTTACTCTTTAAAAGTAAAAAACCAATGTAAAGCAAAAGGATAAAAGCAAATAAATTATGTTTAAAAAACACTTGAATTTAAACTAATAGTCAGTAAATTTTATTTCTTCACTTAAAAAAATTATATACATGATATGCATATATATTCAATTTGTTAAGTCCTTAGTTTTTTTTAAAAATTATTTATTCAAAATTGTTGCCTATATATAAAAAATGTCAACCCCTATCTATGTTTTGTATGATTATATATTTGCTCCAAAACGGTGTTTAGAATGAATTTTTTTATTTTATTTTTTAAAAATGTTTGATAAACTCCTTAATATGAATTTTTTTTTTGCTATTGCCTTAATAGGAATTTAAACATTGAAAGAGATAGAGATAAATAATATAATATGATAAAAAGGAAAATATTACAATAAAAAACAATATAAATTTTAAGTATTTATAAAATATAGTTACTTATTTTTTCATACCATAAAATTTGTTTGGAAAAGAAGATTTTTTAGGAGAGGAAATAAAAAAATGAATTTTATATTTAAATAAATATATTTAAAACAAAAAATATAAATTCATATATTAATATAAAATTAATATATTAATCATATATATATCATTATAAGTTTTATATAATTATTTTAATTTAAAATTAAAAAATATATTTTCCTCTCTTTTTTATTTCAACATTTTCCTCCAAACATTTCCTTAGATAATGCTTTAATAACTTGTTTGCTTTGGCGTTTAAACCTATGCTTACAAATCTCCTCTGTTTTTTATTTTTAGAGAAATTACTTTTTTTCTATTTTTTGCTTTTTATAAAAAAAAAAAACTCCTCTATTTTTAAAACCTACACAAGATTCCACTCCCTTTATTATTTTAAAACTCTCTTCTATTTTATACATCTTAAAAAAAATTATATACTTTTAAATTTTTTTTATAATTAAGCCCATGTTATAATAAAATTTTAAAATTATTAAATACTTAAAAAATATCCATGTGCTCTCAAATAATTTTATATACATTCTAAAATGGTTTTTAAAGAATATTCCTCTTTGATATTAACTAATTTAAATTTTATTTATTTAAAAATACATATAAAAATTTTGATTGCTTTAAATTTTATTATGATATGTAACTGTAAAACTTTTATAAAATATAAAAAAATTGTAATGCTTAAAAAATATAAGAAATTGTGCAACGTATAATTAAAATAAAAAAGTGTAAATTTTGAAAAAGTTATATAAATTAAAACTGTTTTTTATATAAAAAACGTAAAATGAGAGAGAGAGAGAGGAGTAATTAGTGAACGAGCAATTAATTTCGAGAATAACATCACAAGATATTGAAAGAAAAATCTTAAAAAGGAAAAAGCCTCGGAATGGCACGTGTTAATAATACTTGTTGGATAAGAACTCACAGCTCAAAATCGCTGTCCGTTTCCCAGGTTGCTCTTCTTCGTTGGTACTCTACATCCTTTCTATTTAAACCCCGAAAACCCACAAAGTTAATGATTTTGACTTCGAGAATTCACAGATAAAACGAAAAGGAGTGAAGAACGATGGAAGAAGGCGGTGTCAAATTGGACCAATGGGGGTATCAGGTTTCAACTTCCTCTCAAGCCTGCGTTTCAGCCATCAACTCCTTCTACCAACAGGTTTCGCATTTCACACCCTCTTTCTCTTTCTTTGACTTTTTTTTCCCCTTTGATGAAATTGGAAATGGGTCTTCGATGTTATTATTAATGCTGAAACGGGGTCTCTTATCGATGAAGGTTCTGAGCTATGGCAGAGAGAGGAGTGTGATTCTAGAAGCAGTGGTACATGACAAACACTGTGTTTTGGCCAACGTATTAGCAGCTCATTTTCTTCACTCTTCTTCTCAAGCTTCCAGTTATTTTGATGCTGCTAAATCACACCTCGTAACCTCTCATTTGCTTCCTAAAGTTCCCTTTTTTTACCCCCTCTCAACCAAAATAAATAAATAAATTTGGGATGATGATTAGAATTCTGTTGTTACAGGAACATGCCACCTTATACGAGAAATTAGTTTTCGATGCCATCAGTTATTTGATGTCCCAAGATAGAGACGATGATGTAGCTATTGAATTGCATTCCAAGGTGAGTGTCATCAGTTTGAGGACCAATTTAATGTAGAAAGTAACATTGAAGGACCATTTTGATGTAATTTTTTGGAATAATCCTAAATTCTCTTACCTTTTATGCCTACAAATTCGTCTAATTACTAAATAAAGAAATTATTAAACGTTTTTCATATTTTCAAGGTAATAAATTGCATTTAAGAGAAAAATGTATCAACCAAAGGTTCATATAGTATCTCAGTTTTTTTCTGAACCATTTAAATATTCTCTCCTTCATATTGAGTTTCTCTTGTTCTTTCAACTGTACCTGACTTTCTTGATTCTTTAATAGAAATGACCTCACTGATTCATGCTGTAGATGCACTGTTAAAAATAATTCCCTTAGTTTTTACAAAATTAGTGCAAAAACTGGTGAATATTTTCGTAACAACTACTTGACTTGTATACTAGAGAATAGAAAAGAATTAACCATAAGTAAATTCCAGAAGGCATTAGGTTAAGGGAATACAATGAGTATTTGCTTTAACAAATTTGATGTTTTAGACACCTTGATGCCTTGTTATTAAGATGTGTGGAAACTGATTTGAACAAGGTTAGATGATTTTTCGTATGTTGTTACCTAGAAAGTTCTCTCTCAAAGGGGAGCTCACGGCAATCATTTTTGCAAATTGTAGTTGCCTGCACTGGGCTGCGGGACTCATCTATATTTCTGCTCAAATTCTCTTGACTAATGCAACTTTTTTTTATTTTGAAGCTTCTAAAAGAGTTCCCAAGAGATCTGGTTTCTTTAAAGAGAGCACAAGTCTTGTGCTTCTACATTGGTCGGCCTGATCTTTCTTTATCTCTTGTTGAACAGGTTCCTTTCTAATTAGAGAACATTTCTGTTTCATTTCTGCTATAGTATGTTTGTGCAAATGAATGTTTTTTTCTCCTATAAAAAGGTATTGTTTTTATCAGTAAAATCTTTCTGTATCTGGTAGATTGTTTAAACAAGTTGCCAAAATGATAATATAATATAATTTTTTTTAATTATATATTGAAGGAGTGAAAAATATGTTACTCTCAGGCCTACTAAATTGGTTTGTAGAAGAGTTGAGTGTTACTCATATCATAATTTTCTTCCGTTATTTTTGCTTCCTTTGTTTGGGTTGCCTAGAGAAAGCTGAGATGAGATTGGGCTTTAGAAGTCTTTCATCACCTAAATTTTTATTCTCCTCAGCTGTGGGAATATACCATATACAATCAACCCAAGTTCGTGACCAAAAGTTCTCTATTGATTTAACATTTTCCAGGAAAAAAACGTAACATGTTAACTTCAAGTTTTAATTGAACACAATTTTTAATCCAAAATTCTAAGTTCAAACACCAGAATCAGGAACATGGTATTATACTTAATTGGAATCCACTCTTGTCCTATCCTAATACGTAATTCTTGCCATCCAAACAAGATGTAACTTGCTTCTTTATACTATGGTCAATTGAGGGCACTTTGAGTAGTTTGCTTCTTTATATTACCTTGCTTCTATGTTTTTTAATTTTTTGATAAAAAGTTTAAGTACCTTGTCCTTTTAAGTTTTACAGGTTCTAACTCAAAATGAAAGAGAAAATTACATTTATGGCATGCTTGCTTTCCCTTTGTTGGAGCTTGGACGGATGGAGGATGCTGAGAAAGCTGCCAGAAGGGGATTTGAAATTAATAAGCAAGACATCTGGTCGCAGCATGCTGTAGGTCAATGTAATTGTTAAATATTGGCATATTCACTCTATTTAAGAGTAGTACTACTTATTACTATAATCTTTCATGTTGTTTAGTTAACAATTAAGATTTTGAATAAACCTCCACCTTTCCTTCTTGCTTACGTTGCCGTACAAACACTTAACGTCTTAGAAGTTCCCTGTATTTCTTATGAGTCAAAAAAGAAAAGCAGTAGTTGGTTTGGAGAGAGATCAATCAATTGACCAATGATTGGGGGAGTATCTCGAACTTTAGTGTTAGACGTAATCAAGTGACAAATTACGAGCATATCTTACTGTCAAAATTTGGAAATATCATTGACAAGAATGCTTCTTAAAGTATGACCTAAATAATTAGTGCAATACTTGAATTTTGTTTTGCAGTTATGCCATGTTCTTCAGTACAAGTGCCAATTTAGAGAAGCTGTTAAGTTCATGGAAGAATGCTCATCATCATGGAGTTCTTCTTCATCTTTTATGTAAGCATTTGATTCATTTGACCATGGTTTTGTCTAACTTTCTATTTTTCAGCTAAAGAATTTCGATTCTTTCAGGTTGACACACAATTGGTGGCATGTGGCACTTTGTTACTTAGAAGGCAATGCTCCAAGGCAAAGAGTGCTTGAGATATTTGACAACTATATATGGAAGGAGCTGGACAAACAGGATAATGTGGGTGCAGATGTATGTGATTTCATAAACGTTGTCACTAGTAATAGTTTCTCACATTCTTCGTTTTGTCATGAATTCTAATTTCATCTGCATATAGATTTACTTAAATGCTGCAGGTCTGCTTTTGCGGTTGTATGTACGTGGTGAATTGGACATGTATGGTGATCGTCTCAAGAGGCTTGCAGAATGCGTAGCTAATCAAGTAAGCTAAGATACACCCTACATTTTATATGAATCAAGGAAATTGATAAGAACTCAGCTAATTGCGTCGAATACAATACCAAATGAAGAGCCAAAATTGGACTCAAAAGATCTTGACTCAACATTATTTGAAAATACACCCAGAGCAAAAGCTCCGAAACCTATTTGTGCTGAATACTTACTCGTTCCAGTATCATGTTGGACAAACTTATTTATTGCTGTTGAAGGATATACATTCGATTTGTTTCTTGAGCAATTCACGTATGTATGCTAAATGTTCAGGCAAACTGGTATATAGAGTGGCACCTTGATGTATTGATAGTGTGGGCTTTGGCAAAGACTGGAGAAATTTCTAAAGCAGAAGATCTACTGAAGGGCTTAAAAGACAGGTTGAAGTGTTATATTTTTAAGAAAGTAATTGAGATACTATTTTGCATGAATTGTGATATATTCATGCAATCTTAATATAGGATTTTGCGGATGACTAAAAAGAAGCAACAACTAATGCAGAGAGCAATGATGGTATGCTTGTGCGATTTCATAGTATCAATTCTTTATACAGATTTTTTTTTTTTTTTTGGGTTGGAGGGTATAACAGGAGAAAATATTCCATGGTTCGGGACTACCACTTAATATGTGGTCCCAACCAATGCTCTTGTGACACATGGCCAGTTTCTATATTTTACCATTTCGTTAGCTAATTTTTTATTAATTAATTAGGCATTTTGGCCTTGTCTCACAGGAGCATTGGTTGGGACCACAGATTACGTGGTAGTGTCGGACCATGCAATATTTTCTCGTATAACAGCCATACCTTTGTTGCACTCATTTTTTAACACAAGCAGTTAGCTTTGTCTATTTCAAACTTACCATTTACCTCTTCACATACTTGATTCATTGTTGGCCAAGTGTCAACAATGGATGAGATATATTGTATGTGACCCCTAATACAGCAATTGCCCAAAACAGTTAGTCATGCCCATACTTGGATGGTTCAAACAGACTATCTCCTTGCAATAAATAAGTGCTTGAAAGACCTATGCAACTGCATAGTTTACTGCTACTGTTGCTTTATAACAGTGTTCTCATTCCCTGCAATAAAATTCATCCCCCATGTCTCCCGTTTTAACTTAGCTTGCAGAAGCACTTTATGCATATGGAAGAGGTAACGACAGCCATGGACTGGAATTACTTGGTCCAAATTTTGATGCCACTGATTGGAAGGTTGTAATAGTCAAACCACTTTTCTTGATTGTGACTTCACTTTTGATTATTTTGGAACTTACGATATCAATTACATTGCTGTGAAGATCATTGGGGCATCTGACGAACAAGTTGATGTATTCAATGAAGTTTGGTATAACATGTTGCTGAATAGTGGAAAAGCAGTGAAGGGTAAGACGTGAAACTTTTTCCCCAAATACTCAAACCCATCATTCATCTCTAACTATGATAAATTTAAACACAGCAATCGAAGTGATGGAGCAGCGTATCAAGAAAAGAGATGGCATCCCATACATGTGGCGTCTACTAGTACGCGCTGCCTTGTCCTTGAGCATTATGCTCTGATTTTAGAGAATAATCATGCGGAGTTGACATCTTACTAATTACAAATAAATTTATTGTTGCTTCGTTTCTTTCAGGAGAGGGGATACAAACTAGCAAACAGGCCAGAAGCTGAAGTTGCGAACGAGAAAGCCAAGGCTTTGGAGAGTCGTTATTTTAGTTAAGGAAATAATCAAAGAATCAAATAAAATCAAATCTGGTCCATCTGTTGTGTTGGGAAAATAGCGTATAAAATAAATGTCAGTGAATTCGTAAAAAATAAAGGTAACTGATGAGCATGGGGCGCATGCTTGTGGTGGTGAATGGTGATGGGAATTAGGATTTCCCATCGGTCATGAATGAATTTGTGTTGGTGTAATTGGAGCATATATAACCTATGATTTTGCCTATATTTAGTGCATTTTTGTAGTGAAAACGAAAGTGGGTCACGGGGGTGGTTATCAACTCCAAAACGCTAATCACGGGAAAGATGCTTAGAAGGAGTCACTTTGTTCCACAAGAAAAGTATCTTCCCAAAATTAACAATCAAAATTAACCTATAATATAAAATGGAAAAATGTACTTTGGAAAAGAGTTATACAAGATAAGATATTTACCGGTAGATATGGGAGGTATTTGTACTTGGCAATGCCGAATACAAATTAAAAAAGAACAGAACACGCTCCCCGTCTATTCTTCAGTTAAGGTAGGCTCCAACCCACAGTACCCAATTAAAGAACCCACCCGTACCGGTACGGTGTCACTGACATTTTCACCCCTTAACGTTACGTAACCATAAAATAGAAAAACCAGAAACCCTCGTGCGCGTGAGTCCAACGTGGTTAGGCGATGACGATTAAAAAACAGTAAATCATCTTGGGTGGGGTCAAGTCAACGTTACCGTCCGACAAAAGTGAACACCATCAGTCAAACTCCGTCCACACCCTCAATCCTTCGCCGCCACGTCACCGCCGCGCGTCCGAGTCCTAACCCGCTTCAACTCCTCCACCACCTCCTTGGAATCGGGTCGATCATCCTTATCGGCGGCGACGCAGCGAAACGCGAGCTCGGCGACCGCGTTGACGGCGTCATTATCGCCTTGACGTTTAAGAAACGGATCGAGCACCTGATGTAACTGCCCCATCTGGATCCTGGAGACGACGAGATCAGCGAGCGCCATCTCGCGCTTGTCCCTCGTCTGGTCAACGGCCCTCAGCCCCGAGATTAGTTCCAACAAAACCACTCCGAAGCTGTACACGTCACTCTTTTCGGTTAACCGGAAGGACCGGTGATAATCCGGATCCAAATACCCGGGCGTCCCTTGCGGCCCGGTCCAAACAAACCCGTTCGAAGACGACGTCGTGTCCTGCAACACCAAAAGCCTCGAGAGCCCGAAGTCACCCACCTTGATCCTCATGTCCCTTTCCACGAAAATATTCGACGACGTTATGTCTCTGTGAACCACCGGCGGTACAACCGAGAAGTGAAGGTACTCCATGGCTAAGGCCGTTTGTAACGCAATGTCCAGCCTCACCTGCCACGTCAGCGATCCCTTTCGATTGTGCAAATGCTCCGCTAGGGTTCCGTTGGGGACGTAATCGTAGACCAGAAGCAAACCTCTCGGGTCACTGCAATAGCCGTGGAGCTTCACGAGGTTCGGGTGGTTTATCGAAGAGAGGATGAGAATCTCGTTGCAGAAGGACTTGGTGGAGAACGCGGCAGTGGCGTGTTGCCGGTGGAGGTGCTTCACCGCCGCGATAGTCCCGTCGCGGAGGTGGGCGAGGTAGACGGAACCAAACCCGCCGTCGCCGATTTTGCGCTTGGGGTCGAAGCGGTTGGTGGAGGAGACTAATTCTTCGTAGGTGAAAACGGGGGGTAGAAGGGTCAAGGAGCGGTGGTTGTGGAGGAAGAGCGCGGTGGGGTCTTGAATAGCCGGTGAGGATTTGAACCTGGCGGAGCGGAGAATGACGGCGGCGACGGAAACGAGAAGCAGCAATGAAACAAAGGCTATAACGAGGCTGAAGATGGCCATTCTGTTGGGCTTGATTTTATGAATCCAAGGAGGTGTGATTGTGGAATGGGAGATGAAGCAGAGGAATGGTTTAGCTGGGTGTGAAGAATTGAAGCCGCAGAGTCCGTTGTTGGCACGGCAAGTGGTGCAGTTGGTGAAGTAAGGGTCTTGGGATTGGTCCCATTCGAGTAAGATTCCGGATTTGAGGATTTGGTCGAGGAAAGCAAGAACGTCGGTTTGGCAGGTTGATGGTGAATCGGAGGGAGAGTGGTGGGTGGAAGTGCAGTGGCGGAGGAGATGGGTGGGGTTGTTGATGAGGTGGCATTGGTCGGGGCAGTGGGTGCAGTTGGGGGCAGTGCATGGATGCAGGAAGGAGAGGCGCGAACAGGAAGCGTCTGAGATTCGGAAGGGGGTGGAGGAGAGGTTGATGGAGCGGTTGGGGATGGAGGGGAAAGGGGTGCAGGTGGTGGTGTTTGCTCTTGGGAGAGGGGTGAGGAGTATTGAGGGCGTGTTTGGGTTGTATGTGAGGATGGAGAAGGAGATGTTGTTAATGGAGATTAGGGAGTGAGGGGTGGAGCATTTGAATTGGAAGGAAGGGTGGCCACATCCTGGGGAGGATGAGAATGGAAATGGTGGGTTGGGTGGGAAGGGAGGGCAAGTGGAAGTGGAAGTGGAAGAGCATGTGTTGTGCGATGTGGATGTGGACACGGAGAGGAAGATGATTAAGAAGAGTATGAGAATGGTTAAGGTCAAGGAATTGAGAGACATGGAGAGGGAGTGATGAAGGGTGGATGAGATCTGGTTTTGTTTTGATGGCAGAGAGCAGAGAGCTACTATACTATACTCTATACTATGTTCTTGGAAAACAGAATGAAAGAAAGACTGAGAAACCAAAAAGAGGGTCACGTGCACCACTGCTACAAAAGACAAATACTATTCTTTATACCCCCTCCAAATGCAAATTCATCACACTTCCACCTCCTCCTAAATCATTTTTCCTTTTTATAATTAAATTTACTTAAATAAACATAACAAATTTTAATATTATAAAAGTGTAATAATGTATTTTTTTTATTAAACGTATAAAATCAGTTTTAAATATTTAGATTAATCTTTTTCTTCTTTGTCTATAAAATATTAAGTTTTAGTTGTTTAATTTTAAAACCTTAAAGAGGAATTAATGTTTATATGATATTTTCTCATTACATTTCCTTCAACGTTGTCATTGTTTGTTTATGCAAATATGTTTTTTTTAAATTAATGGAAGATGAATAAAAAAGTTATAATTTTTTTGGAAGACTGCGGTAGTTAAAATTTGTAACGTTTGACTGGATATAACCAAATTATTATCATATTTATATACTATAATTAAACTTGACATAACTCTTGTAAGATTTTAAAAGAAAACAAAAGTTACAAAAGCATCATTAAGAGAATATTTGACAGGTTTCTTCTCTTAATTTTTTAAAAAAATATCTATCATTCCAATACATAATTTATTTTAAATACTTTGTTAGATATTATGAACTTAGAGTACTTTAAATATTAAAGAGTATTTATATTTTAAAAATAAATTATTAATTTAATTAATTATGTATTTAAAATTAATGATAATAATTATTTTATAGAATATCTTCTTAATTTATAAAATAATATAAAAATATTTTTATTTTATAAGCAACATAACACAAAAACATGAGTTATTGTCAAATATTTTTAATATAAAAATGATTATAAACACAGGTCATTTTTTTTATATGAAATTTTTTTTACTTAATTACTATAATATGGACTTCAGAAAAAAAAAATTACATAAATATAGAAAATTTAAAAAATTGTCAATGGCGATTTTTGAATGTCAGAATAAGTAATTTTATATGATGGTAAAAATTATTTATAGCGATTTTTAAAAAGTAAAATCACCAATGACAATTTTTAAAATCTTGTTTTATATATAGTTATTGCTATTTATGATAAATTGCACCGTAATTTCATTCTCTTTGTTCTCTAAAGCTTTTTATTGCATTTCTGCTGTTTGCATTTCATTTTTTTGGTTAAATTTGGTCATTCTATTGTAGTTGAAGAAAGAAATGAGTACAAATATAATGGTGTACTTTAATGGTTAAATTATTACAAATACGTAGTGTGAGATTTACATGTGAGAAGTCAATTTGTATACATATTTTTTATAATATATCATATAAAGCACTAAAATATTGGCTTTGTCAATATATTAAAGTGAAGACTCTAAAAATAATAGAGAGTATAACGTAAAGGTGTCTATTTCTATTTTTGAAAGTTTTATGCAATATCAAGGAGTTGCAATAACAACCAATGAAGATATTCAACAAATGTTTCAGATACGTAATGAGCGTCGGGCCCCAACTCCTACCATTAAACTGTATATTATTTTTAAACAAATTATAGCTGATACACATGCACAAGGTAGTGATGAGGAAGATGAAGCCTATGCGAGCATCGTTCCTAACAGAGAGATAGAATGGGAACAAAACATCACCGAAAGTGATGACTGTCACTTTGATGAGGATGGTGATGATAAGGAATCAGAAGATGAGGGAATTGATGAAGACTCCTATTTATCAAGTCCAATGATTGGCAAACATCGTTTGAAGAGTCGTTATTTATGCGTGTGTTAGATCTTATAAGTATACAAGCACCTGAATTTCTAGAATATGCTAACTTAAGTATGTGATGTTTGAAATATTTTAATTATACCCTTATCATTTTATGTTTAATTTAATGAATTAGTTTTTTTTTTAATTAAAATTTATGTGTTTGATAGGTAATTCTGAGGTAGTAGGAGAATTGTGTGTTGGAATGCAATTTAATGACAGAGAAAATATTATACGAAGAATTAAACATTACAATATATCAAAAGGAGTGGAATATAAAGTATTTGAGTCTGAACCAAATATATTTTACTGTAAATGTGTAAACTATGACATAGATTGTGATTGACTTGTTCGGGCTAGCTTGAGGAAAAATAAATGTTTTTGGGAAATCAGGAAGTATAATGGGCCACACACTTGTATAAGGGCTAGGATTTCGCAGGATCATAGCAATTTGGATGTAGACACAATTGCATAATGTATTAAGGCAATGGTAGAATCTGACCTTTCTTTTAAGATCAAACTTGTGATTAATGAAGTTCAAGCTCGATTTGGATATACGACAACATATAGAAAAACATGAATAGCAAAGCAAAAAGCAATTGAAAAAGTGTATGGTGCCGCAATGGTCTATAACAATGTGTGACGTTGTTTGTGGGTCAATTGTTCAATTAGATGTTGTTAAAGCTTATCGCAATGATGAGTTGATTCCTGATGTTCAAATATTACATCGTATTTTTTGGAGTTGTGCTCCTTGCATTCGAGCATTTAGACACTGCAAACCACTTATGCAAGGGAGCTTTATTGGTAGTTGTTGCACAAGACAACAATCAGAATATTTTGCCGATTGGCTTTGCTATTGTTGAAAGAGAAATTGCAGATGGTTGGCATTTTTTCCTTGAGAATTTACGCAAACATGTCGTAACGCAAGATAGTGTTGGTATTATTTCTAATCGGTACGAGTCAATTAATGCAGCAATAAGACGAAATAACGGACAATGAGAACCCCTAAAGGCATTTCACATGTATTGTATCAGGTATATTGCTGCTAATTTCTTGCAAAGATTTAAGACACCTTACTTGCATAAACTTGTTGTCTGCATGGGTAATTGACATTATTCTTCTGTCCATGATGTTTATATTGAATTATAAATTTTATATGTTGTTGACATGCTTATATTAATGAGTTTGTGGTATGCAGGTTATTCAAGAACTGAATCAGAATTTAATATTCATTATCAGCAGTTGAGACAACATGGAAAGGTATATACAAACTGACTTAATGAAATTCCATGAGAGAAGTGGGTTCTTGCATATGACGGCAGGCATCGATGGGGTCACATGACCACCAATCTTGTTGAGTGCATTAATTCAGTATTAAAGGGCGCTCGTAATCTTCCAATAACAACACTAGTTAGAGCAACTTACTTTCAATTAGCTGAGTTATTTGCACGTAAAGGTTGTGAGGCATATACACGAAAAAAGGCTGGACATATTTTCTCTGAAGCTGTGACAACTCAACTTCAATCAAATGAGCAAGCATCTAGAAACCTTTGTGTTACTGTATTTGATAGATGAAATGAGACTTTTCTTGTTCAAGATGTAAACAACAATCAAGAATATAAAGTCTAACTCAGGAAAAGATATTGTGATTGTAGTGACATCCAGAATGGTAGATATCCATGTCGTCATGTCATTGCTGCTTGCTCTAGTCAAAACATTGATTGGCGTTGTTATGTTGATGATGTTTACAAGATAAATGAGTTATGAAAAATACATAAGAAAGAGTTTGGAGTCATTGAAAATGAAAGTACGTGGCGGATATATAGAGGTCTAAAACTTATTCCTAACCCAAATTTAAAGCGCATAATAAGAGGTCGTCTAAAATTAACACGTTTTCTGAATGAAATGGGTAGGCGTGAGATGAGAAGAACCCGACGTTACAAGGTGAAAGCCATAGTAGAAGAACATGTCCAAATGCTCCTGGGTCAAGTTCGCAAGGTTGATGTTGCTGTTTTATGTATTTTTAATTTATGTTTTTGTTGTTGTTTATGATTAAGTTGTTATCGTCATGTAAGATCAAGTAGTATTGTTTAATTATAAATGTAAGGGTCATATGCAATATTTGTTATATTTTGAAAGAGTATTTGCATTAAGAGATGATAAATCATATAATATTTAATTAACAAACAAAGCTTCCTTTATTAAATATTTTACTGACAAACAAAGTTGCATAATATATAAATAACATTCCATGCTTAAACATAAAGACAATAATGAAAACAAAAATTAAACATAAACATTAAACAAACATCATTTTCCCTTTTTCTTCATGATTAATGAAGGGCTATATCTATCAAGGGCATAGGTGAAGGGACGTAACGTAAACATTAAACAAACATCACTTTCCCTTCGTCTTCCTTCAGTAGGACTGTCATCCCCAACACCCTGATCATATGTTGCATCGTGTGTAACTCTCTCATCAACTGTAGGTTTTGCTTGTTCCACATTTTTAGATATATTTGTACATATGGTATGCTGTTGTATCATCTCCCAAGACATGATTGGCACAGAATACTGTTCACCCAATAAAAATGTTTGCTGAAAAGTACCACCACACTCTGTTGTCACAAGTTCTGGTCGATAAACATCTTCATCATCATTATTCCCTTCATCCACAATTGCGTCTTCATTAAGGTCAAAGTTGCATGCAAGAATGACAAGAGAAGGTCTAACATCCTCAATGAGAAGGTCATATGTAGAAAGTAACGCACGAGATGTCTCACTTTCACTACTGCAATCAATTGATTTCCTCCAACGTGATTCATTGCTTGTTGACCCACAACGATTATCTCTTCTATCGACAGATGTTCGTGAAGATTGTTGTTGTGGGGGTTCTTCATCCCATTCAAATGGTTGCCATTGGTTTGTGTGTGGTGACCAGTAAAACTCCTCATTTGGTTGAACTGATGGTGGTGGAATCCCCTGTTGATGCTCGGACAATGGTGGGGACATAAGCTCTTTATCCACCAAAAACTGTTGTTGCTGGGGTGGTGGCTGTTCCATTTGTGAAGACAACCATAACCAATTCATTGCATATAATGTATACCAATTCCAATACTCATTGGACGGGTAATG